CATGGATATTTTTAGGGGTGTGACAACTACCCTTCGGAATGATTATTATTTTGTCCTACTAGACAGGGTTTGGATTCACATACACATAGGCCTTCTGATTTTCTAATGCTGTAGATAACTTCCTACTACTTTGGCTTATCAGCCATTCTGATTTTCTTAAAGCTTGATATGATTGGCAGTTTGTGAACTTAGATGCAAGTAGGTTGATGCTTGTATCTGCTTGCTATCTCTTTGTAATTTATGCAAAATGTTCTGAATGAAGACTTATTGTGGTTGTTCTCAATTGCATGCTGTAAGAGAACATGAGAAACTTTTGCTTGTGGTTTGAACATTTGAATAACATTGTAGTTTGCTTTTTTTTGTCCAGTGATTATATGATGGCAAGTACCAAGAAAATTCTTTATTTTCAATGAGCAAGCTCTACTTAAGTGTCTTCATGATAGCTTTCTTCTAGAAGAATATATTATAATTATATATCGAAACAAGTTCTGGCATTTGAAGTCTTTTGGGAGAAAAGGGAACCATGTCAATTATATTTCTATCTCACAATGTGAAAATTTCACTATATTGCTCCTTCACATTGGCCTTTCAACAACTTGTATTTGCACCTAATATTTGGATCCATATGAAGAGAACATTAAATTCAAATCAAACTTTTAACTTGAATTATATATGTATTTAGGGAATAGAATTGTGAGATAAAAAATTTGAATCGCTTTTATATGAGTTCATTAAGCATTTCTTTCCCAAACAGAAAAGTGATTGGTTGTTTTTCTTCTGCTATTGATTCAGTTGTAGTAGTTTTGATGATATCTTATGAATCCATAGAGGCTATTCTGAAGTTCAAAACAATTTGTTTCTTACTCCTTTCGATTCAAAACCACCTTAAACCCTGACACACACATACAGAAGGCTTCAAAGCCCTTGAACCACTTTCCTTCTCCATGTGTGACTTGGGAATCAAAATCGGTTTATAAACTGGGTCTTTAGAATATTGTCAAATATTTGGAATTTCTTGACTCATTAAAAAGTTTTCTGATAGAATTTAGTGCATATACATTGGAAATTAATTTGTTGTGGATCAGAAATGCTAGTACATTGTCTTCTTTGTGTGAACTGGGTCCTGACACAGATCAATTGCTTTTTGGCTTTGCTTTCTTTTTTTTTCTATGACTATACAAGTGAAAGCAGTCTTGACTTATTCTTCGTTTCATTTCCAGGATCTGGTACCGAGTCTAGTTCAGAGGCAGCTGAAGGAGATGATGTACAAGATGCTGTTGTCAATCACTATCATATAGATGAAGATGGAGATGAGGATGCAACATCTGATGCCAATGATTTTCAGGACATGGAAAATGAATACAGGATAGATGGTGAAGCGGCATGTACAAGGTTAATTTTACTTTGCACTTTAGTTGCTTCTCTCAGGTCTTGCTGTGCACCTACACAGCAATGAAAGATTCACCTACACAGTATTTACAATGAAAGATTGTTTAAAATGTCATCAGTTATGCTTCGTGCTTCCTTTGTATCTTGTTTTAGGTGATCATAAGTAGAGGTGGTTGTAGGGACAATCCTTGATATTGTTGTCTTCATTACTACATGGCATGGTTCACCTTATCATTATGTACCGGTGTACCGATCAGTTGTCGGTATGATATGTACTGAGCTGTATTGCGTCGTACTGAACATACTGACACTATACATGTGGGCATACTGATGTATCGCACGTACCGGTCCCCTATCAGGTCAATACGTACAGCCTGTACCGAGTGGTATGCCGTGGTATGACGAACTTTGCTACATGGTTGTTATGGGTTTGACACATAGGGACAGCTTACTTGCATACATGCGAACAAGACTACAAAGATAATAAGGATTTCTCCGTTTTTTATTTTTTGTTGCTTTATAGTCATTGACATTTGTTTATCTTTAAGTACTAATGATATTTCCAGCTAAAAGTAGCCACATAGCACAGAGCAAAAATTGGATTGATATTAAACTTATGAATTCACCTTAACTATTCTCAGCTCTTTTCATGGTCATTTGGGGCATGATCTTACAAATGAAGAGGTTGAGAAGTTGCTGAAAAAGCAGTGGAAATTTAAGTGGGAGATGCCTGCTACTGAGATGCCAATGTCCAAATGGGTTGGAACTGGAGACGCTATGACAATGGTACACATGCTTTCTTATAAAAAAATGAAATTTTGCTATCTTGACTCTTAGATTTTTGTTCGTGCTCATCATCTGTTACAAATTTAAAAAAGTAGTCATAACTGATTCTTTTCTGGTTTCTTTAAAGCTGGCATATGCTATTGTCGGTGGTGGTGCGATTTTTTTGGTCTTGGAGTAGACAGATTCTAGATTTTAAGACCAAGGTTTAAAGTTTAAACATCAAAATGATATCGGTATCAACAATCACTCGCACCAGTATGGTGACAAGATATTGAGCGATATACCAATTTGTACTATCTTGTGTCACTGAAAAATAGTTTGTAAGGTGATGTACTGAGTGCTGTAATGTTATTTGGTTCATTACAGGTGTTTGGTTAGACCTGCATATGCTGGTTGGTGTGTATTGCTTCAATTGATATTTTAAAGAATGATTCATAGTTCATACTTTTGTATCACTATAATGATGTATTTCTATTTATTGTTGATGTTAAATTTTAGGACATTTTATATAGAGTTTGAGATGTGCATGTCATCCTATCGAAAGTTAATTTGGCTATCTACATTATTGCTGTAATGTGTGAGGTTGATAACTACTTAATGACTTGATGATCATAACCTGTATTTGATTTATCTGTTGTAGGACACTAGCACCGATCTAGTGTATGGGCTTAAGCAGAAGCTGTATAACAATTGGCTGAGCATCTGTAAGAGTTCTGGATCAAGTGACTTTGGTTCATCTAGGCAGAAATTCTTCTCCCTCTGTAAGTTTTGGTGCTATTCTTGTTGACAACTTGACATATGTCAAAACAATTATTTTCTTGTTATCTTTTCTGTTGAATAATTCACTATAAGTGTGGGTGATATTCTATCGTTGATTAAATGCTGATGAATTAGATCAACTAATTATAGTAGAACAGATATGTTAGAGGCTTAGAGCTTATGCATGAAAGTAATATGGAACTCAATGGCCTTTGCAGTTTTTAATTCACTATAAAGTTGAATCCATCATTTGGTAGGAACAAATTAATAAAAAAATGATTTGTATTTGCTGAGGGTCTACCAACTTTGGGCAAAATCTTAAAATGATTGTGCTTTGAGTGTCATGCTCTGTATTTTCTTTAAGGATCACAAGAGTTTTCTTGTCTTCCTGAACCTGTGCTTTGGCAAGCTGTCATATATCTGTTTTAAACATTTTCCTTCCATTTTATGTAATCTAGTGCTAAATCATTTTGATATAGGAAAGGTAGGTACGGCAAGGTAAGGCTAACTCAAAATGGTGAGATCAACGTGGAATCCTTCATTTTTGAAGTATCATATGGGTGTGAGGAATTTATACCAAAAGATAAAATTTTGATTTTTCTGTTGCTTAGAAGTTTACTGCAACTTGGAAACATTCATTACAGAATCTGGCATTTCTGGGATGTTCTGTTTCTCCTTTTCTGATTGTTTTTGACTATTATCATTTGGCTTTTATCCCATCTAGTGGGTAAATGCCTAGAAATTTGATTTTTTTTCTCATAAGTGATATGCCAGCTTTGTCAGTAAAACAATTCAGTATGCATTTGTGCCCTTCTCAAGGGCCAAAAAGAGGATAAGAGGTGAAAGCAATAAAATCAGATTAGATAATTTAGGTTCTTGAAAGTTAAAAAGCAGAAATATAATGTTCCTTAGATCGATCTCATTGGCAGATCTTTTACAGTCCTGATACAGTGGATGTACCCATTTTATTTGCAGTGTCTCCCACTACACTGTAATAGTGTATATAAGACCCATTTCATGAGCTTCATCATTGAATCTTGCTATTGATTATGTGCATGTTTCTTGTTGCAGGCCATACCTATCGAGATATACTGCACTGCAACAAGAAGCCATTTTATCTCAAAGGCAACGAAGAGGATTCAAGTATCATGGATGCATATATTATTCATGCTGTAAGTGCAGATATCTTGTGGTTGTACTGTTTTGTAGATACATTTTTCTGTACTACATAAGCCACCTTCGTTTGTGCTTTTTATATCATGATATTTGTTTTTCAGTTGAATCATGTTTATTGGACTAGAGATCTTGTCATTAAGAATGATGCAAAGCTGACCAAGCAACAGGAAGATAAGAAGGAAGAGATTCTTTCTGGTGGCACATACCTGGATCAAGGTTTCACTCGTCCTAAGGTAATTATGACTAACAATCAGGAAGCTTCTTGAATGTCTCTGTATCATAATTAATTTCTCATGTGAACTCCACTTGGCATAAGGATGGCATTTGCTAGGTATCCTGCTGTTGACTTTTTAAGGATATGTTGTTGACCAGAAAAGTTTAAGTGCACTTTTGATTAATTTAATAGTTCTTACCGAATAAAATTTCTGGAAATATTACTTTCAGCCATTGTAAATGTCATTTTTTTTGTTGATTCAACTCCGAAGAATCTAATGTTTCTTTGCAGTTGGTTTTAAGGTTGCTATGACTGACCTTTAATTTTGTACAGATAACTTATCTTTTGAGTACCTGGCATACTTATATTGTGTACTTATCTTATTTATAGTGTTTGAGATACAATTACAGATGTTTGTAACTTGTGTCTTTAACAGTTTAAATGTGGAGTGCGATTGTATGGATGTGCGATGTCCCGACTTGGCCCCTGATGTGATAACTAACCCATTAATTTTGTTGATGGGTTAATAGTAGCCTGAACTACTGGTTCAAAATACTTAAGCTGAAGATAATAACAATATACTTATCAGATCTTATAAGTAATTCTAAGTCTTAGCACGTGGGACTAAATTAGGATGTTACAATCTCACCTATTTAAGGGGCTTAAGATTCAACTTAACTTAGAATTAAACCTTAATATGATGCATGTGAGGTATAGCCCAATGATGGCTCCATGTCACATGCCCTCTAGTCCCATTCATGGTTAGTCCTTTTCTACTCGAGCCTCTCTCTATACTTAATAATAGGTTGGCTCTGATATCAATTATCATGACCCGATTTAATATGATAGATCTGTTAATTTCGTTGAGCTTGAACCACTGATTAAAAATGCTTAAAACCAAGTTAACGGTAGTACACATATCAAATCTTTATAAGTTAATCTTAGTCTTAGTCAACTTCTGATGTGAAACTATTATCAGGGTGCAAAAGTCATTGTGGATTGATTAAGTCCTCTGATTTTGGGTGTGGGCGGATGTATGAAGAAAGTTTTAATGATCTTTTTAAATGTTTGAGAAAGTTCTTTAAGTACTGTTGAATGTTGGCATGGAATTGGTTCTTATTGTTGGATTTAGGAACATATATTCATTTTTGTTTGTGTTTGATTTTCCTGTATGGTTTGAAATATATTGTAGTACATGTGGTCTCATATGCATCATTTAGTTTCAAGGATGACACTAATTTTAATTTAGTGTATTTGCAAGATATGCAAGGAAGGATTCAGCTATGTTATTGTTGATAAATGATTTCTATAAATGATGTTCTAGTTATTTTTAACTTACAGTGTTCAAAGCTCTCTAGCTTACACTAAGTCTCATGAGCTTGTGCCAAATGTCAGTAACCTGCCAATACAGTGCAGCATGCTTGGCTATAACTGTTGACCTTTGATTATAATTTTAACTATTACATGTTTTTTGCATCTGATGTGTCTTTTTCTAGTCATCATAATTTCGTATTAACTAATTTTTGACATGCAAAGGTTATGTTCTTACTGCCACTTGGGAGCATTGCGATGCGTGTTGTGAAGAGGTTAATTGAACTTACTCCACTAGCGAACAAAGTATGTATCAACTCTTTAGTTATATGTTGTCTTGTGTTCTGATCAGGAACTTAGTAAATATAGAAACTTTTCTTCACTTAGATTCTGTTGTAGTTCATTCTCATGGTTATATGAACATATGAATTATTTCTTATTTTGATTGTTATGTTTTTGTCATGTGGTGAGTCAGCTTATAATTGATGAGATATATGCTTATTATGTCTAAGGATCTTAAGTATGCAAGTTTGAACAGTTCATTCAGTTGGTAATTTGGAGCATCTGAATGTTTGGATGGTTTTTATCAACTTGTGAGGATATTGATTTTGTCGAACTATGAACTATGCTGATTTTCATTTCATTTAGTTTCTTTTAGATGCATGAACATTGTCTCCAATGTGATAAACTAATTTCAGTTTCTCTATGTAGCGTTAATTGCTTATCTTTTTTGTTTGCTGAAGATAATTATTAAAGTTATAGTTGTATTGGTTGGTGTTCCCCGTTGCCAGACTATATAGGTCATTGCCAGTTGATATTTATTTATTTATTTTAATTCTTTATAACTGGGTGGTATAGATTGGTGTATCACCCAATATTGCACTAGTATGACCAATTGTCGGAACCAATATCTAATATGTGAGAATCGAGAATCATCTTTTAAGAAAATGTTGCTTTGTTATTTGAATGAACTGCCTTTATATGACTATAGTAGTTATCAAGGACTATCGTATCGTCCAAAGCGGTATGAAATGGGTAGTACGATCGGTCTGAGCATGGACTGGTACATAGGCCGCTCCTGTTTCAGGTGGTCCGTTCCAACTCATATAAAAAAAAAAACCTAAAAGAGTGATTCGCAAGCCCTCTTCTTACAATGTCATTGTCATAGTTCGTGAGCCCTCTACTTGTTGTTGACCTCTTCGACAACGTCGCTGTCGCAGTTTGTGAGCCCTCTTCTCGTCGTTGCCCTTTTCTCACAACATTGCTGTTGCCGTTCACGAGTCCTCTTCTCATGACGCCCTACCATTGTTCGTGAGTCCTCTTCTCGTGATGCTATTGCCTCTATCACCCTTGGAACACCCCTTCTCTTCTTCTTTGTCCTCCACTGCCTTCTTTTCTTCCTTCCTCTTTCTCCACCGTCTCCTCTTCTTCCTTCTTCCTCCTCCACAATGCCTTGCCCTTTTGCTTCAAAACATTGATACCTTGTCGGTACACCAGTACCGACCAGTACATACCAGTCCTCCAGTAATCAATATGGATCTGGTACATGATATGGCAGTTCTTGGTAGTTATCATACTAAATTACCTTTAGTTTGTGAAGCTCATTAGATCCCTGCAGCTAATATTATTCCTGAAGATATGTTCTGTAACATATGAATAGGTTTTTGAGTACTTGGATATATGAGAATGCTTTTAGTCCAGTATGGATTTTTTTTGTTTTCTGCTTTTCTTATCTCACTCTTTTGTTTTTCTATAATGATTTTTTAGGCTAATGTGGAGCACATAAATCGTTTTACCGAAGAGTTTGGAGCTGTTGATGAAGAAGATGAAGGGGAAGCTGAGAATTCAAAATCTCAGAAGCCTACAAAACCTTCAGACTTTCAAGCTTTGTTTGGTGGAAACAATAACGATCACTTTATGCTAGGCATCAAATTGACAAAGTACAGATTTTTCAGATCCTCCTACTAATTATAAAATTCCCTATGGATTTTTTTCTTGTTCAAGCTTTTGATTTGTGTGACTACTTAACATCATGGTCATTTTCTCTATGAAGCTTCTGATTTCCATTTGTTCCAATCTTTATTGTTTCAAGAAGCTGTGTTGCTTTAACTTATGAGACCCATTTTATTTGACATACTGGAAAAATTTTCTTTAGAAACCTGAAAGGAAAAGATAATATTTGATATGAGAGAGATGAACTTTGAGATGAACTTTTTTTTTTTCATCGCAATGGTCCATGTAGTGATATTAGTCTTATTTGTTATGCATATGCGCTATATGATATTCTGGGATAATTATATGAAAATATTGGGGAAACAAGGAACGCAGTATTTTATCTAAAGTATTATGTAAGATAGTCTCCGACTGGCTTTGTAGTTACATATATTCAGTGTTGCATTTCAATCTTGATCTGGGATAATTATGAAAGTTAGTTTGGATCATCTCCTTGAACATGGATTGGGCTCTGGAATAAGCATCTGGACTGGCTCTTGTAGTCTTATTCCTCCAAACATGGTTCTCTTTTGCAACTTATTCTGGGAATATAATAAGTGAAGATGCCTAATCTTTTATCAACCAATTGTATTATAACTCTAGAGTAACTTATATAATAGTTGCTATGTTTCTTATTCCTTTGTTTTGTAGAAAAAATAGATGATTTCCTTTTCTTCACTAGCGACATAAGTTATTTTTCCTTACAAGATAATCACTTTATTATTTCAATATTTGAACCAAACAAGTCCTAAAAGATAACTTAATTGTTGATATTGCAAGTTAGATTGGATGAGCAACACACGTTTATTTTCATTTTAGGTTCCAGTTTGATGAAAGTTTGGCCTCTAATAAATTTTGTGCCCTTAGTCATTTGACTATTTATGTTTCTTAAAAGCCATGTCTGCATTAGGTATATGATAATTCTTTGTTTTTCTTGTAGGCGAAGCATAAAATTGTACAGTGACTTCTATTCTTCAGATATCATTGTTGCATCTCCTCTGGGACTTATAACTGCAAGTTCTTTCTCATTATATTTTTCTTCTTTAAAATCCCCATTTATCATGTACACAGTAATCTTGTTTACTGGTAGTAACTTCAACAGTTGATTTCTTGATTCTTTTTCTCTCAGAAAATTGGGGAGGCTGAGGTTGATAAAGAAAAGGATGTTGATTATTTGTCATCGATAGAGGTGTGTATATATCTTTTACTTTCATGATATTAGACTTTTCTTCATTTTGATGTGTATGTTTATGCTGTGATAACCTTTATCGCTAATTGTGCATGAACAGGTGTTGATCATTGATCATGCTGATGTGATATCAATGCAGGTCTAATCATTACACTAAAACCTGACCTATTTTGCTTGTTGTGGTATTCAAAACATTAACATACTAAGAATGACATGCAGAACTGGTCTCATGTGAATACTGCCGTGGAACAATTGAACCGTATACCATCCAAGCAACACGGAACTGATATAATGCGTATAAGGCAGTGGTAGGCTTTATTTATAAGTCTGAATATTCCAAGATCATTGAACTTTTTTTTCTTTTCTGTTATAAGAGAGGCTTTAGGCTTGTTTGCAGGCTCCACAGGGTCAGCAGTTGGTAGTACTTGAAATAGATGCACGTAGATACCTGTTTGTTCTGCTAAATATTGTTCTTATCCACCACAAGAGAAGGAATCTGTTTATTCTAGCCACCTTGATTCACTTCTGTGCAATTTTAAGTCATTGTTCAAGTTGTGTGAGGCTATGATTGTAGTACAGTTGTATTAATTCAATTGAAAATGTGCTTACAATTGTAATGAAGTTCACTTTGCTTGTCGGCCTCTCTTATATTTCGTCATTTCATTATCGTCCAGGTATCTGGATGGGCATGCACGCTTTTATCGACAAACAATACTCTTGACTTCTTTTGTTAATCCAGGTACTAGAACTCATGAGTTTTTAGCTCAATCACTATGGCCGAAGAAACCAACTATGCATTGCTTGTTATTAGGTTACAAGGTTCTACATTTTGTTTTGGAATTATGATAATCTGCCTAAGCTTGGTCCATACTCGGATTTGTTGTATGACTTAATAATTTCTTGTTAAGTTGTATCTTCTGTAGAGTAAATGAAAGCTTTTTTTCCTTTCATTTCAACATTTATGCTTACAACTGTCATGTTAGTAACTTTATTGATTTGTTGAAATGGAACCTTCATGCTTCTTATGTATATGTATAGTATGGAGGAAAGGATTATGTATGCTAACATTTTCTTGTTCTTTTTTGTTTTCAATCAGAAGAGAACCTTTACACTAGTGATAGATGGGAAAGGAGGAATAAAATGCTGATTTTCTTTAGAAAATGGTTTTGTATATTTCCAGGAGTTTACAAGTGTGACTTCTGTTGGGTATTCTTTTGTTTTGTATATTTGATATTAAATGAAGCTAAATTTTGGAAGGGTTTATCAGTGAAATAATATTCTTTGGTTTATTTAGCTTTGCAAATCCATTATGTTACTGCACTGTACCTGCAAATGTAGTTCTACCAAGGACAAAGGGGAACTGTTCCTATGATTAAAAGTTTTTTCTTCTAGCTGCAGATATGATGTCTGTGCAGCCTTTTCTTCACTTTAAAATCACCTGCATAGTGTTTGTCAATGTTTACACCTTTTTATTTAAGTGGCTCAACTTTGTCTCAGAGGTTGCTTTTCTGGATAATGCACTGCATTTTTTTATTCTATGTCCTGTATACCTAGTTCTCTCTAATTTGTACATTTTTTTAATTTTAAAAATTTTGCAATCTAGTTACAACTTTCTTGGTTTAAGAAAATCAAAGTACCTAATGATTAATGCTCATTTGTCTTTGTTTCAGAGATGAATGCTTTATTTAATCGATCTTGTCTGAATTACAAGGGGAAGGTAAATTGGTGAATTAATTATTTTTTTATTATGTTTTGATGTTAAGGAGTTTTTGTTTCTTCTCTAGGTTAAGTTAATAAGCCAATACAAAGGTGTTCTTCCTAAGATATTGCTACCAGTACGGCAGGTGCGTTACTCCCTATAGTACATCAAAATTGTAGATGCCTAAGTTCATTTCAACATAATGCATCTGCTTATTCACTAGCAGATTAAGGATATGCCATAACTTGTGCAGACAAATTATTGAAGTGGCAATAAACTTTGTTAAAGCATTTTTTTCTCTACATCTGGATGGTCCACAGCATTAGTGGTGCCTAACGAAGATTTCTGCAGGTTTATGAACGATTTGATGCTAAGTCAGTTATGGATGCTGATGATGCTCGCCTTGATTATTTCTGTAAGAAGGTAAGTTTGTGTAACTTTTTTGCAGCTAATTTTTAGTCTATAGTTTGCAAAGGTATAAAAATGATGAAGTAAACCAATTTAAGTTATTCATAATTTGAGAGTGTTTGTGAGGCATAACTATGTCTAGTAGCAAGTGTTTGGTTAGATTTGTCTCTAAATAAATAAATCCTCTTTGTACTCTTAAATCTTAATGCAGTCTCAATGTAGGCTTTTGAATAAGTTACTAGTTCCAAATCGTGTAATATGACATATATGTGATGAAAATTGTCTCCTTTATATCTGAAGTTAAAATGAACATTGCTTGCAAAGGAAACAAAAACATTAGATGTTTATTTTTAACTGCCAGCATTTATTTTCTTGTGTCCCTTTATGAAATATGTCTCAGAATTCTAACTGGCACTGCATCTTTTTTGGCTAATGCTGTTTGTTTCCTTTAATTTGAACTGCATCATAACTAAAGACCAACTTATTAATTGTTCAGTGCCATCATTAATGGGTTAAATAAACTTGTCTAACATGGAAAACAATAATGAAAACTGTTCAATCCTTGTGAAGAAGCATCACTTGCACATTTTTGTTTATGAGACATGAGAAAAAAATTTGAACTGGCAGTTCATGTCTACTACTATAGTAATTTGGATTTCTTCTTTGTGACTTGGTACCATGGACCTAGTGTTTTTGCTGCCAACACTACTGGGTTTGCCTAGGAAGGCCACTTGTTTGTCAATTTTTGCACCCTAGCATACATTACCGCTAAGTTTTATTTATTTTGATTGTATTTTTTTCTCTTTTTTCTGCTTAACTTTTTTTTAAAAAAATTGGTTGATGTAGTTGACTATCTTTTTCAGGTATTTCCTAAATTGAAGGATTCAATCGAGGTATGCTTTTATCCAACATCATGAGAGATTGCCTCCTAATCTGTTTCTTTCAAGCTTGTTGATTCTCTACCTAATTGCATAATTCATGAGGTTTTCAATGGCATATCAGCATCTGAAACTCATTCGGTATTATATTGAAATAGAATTTTCATGAAATGTGTTCCTTATATATATATTTGTAAGTTCATGTTATAGCATTTGTTCTTTGTAGTTTGATAGTCTATATGCATAGATTATCAGGTAGTTTTTAATTTGTGAAACGGGTTCTGTAAAGTTGATTTGACTCTCTATTTGCATATGGAATTAATATTTTAGTTTTCATGGTGATCCTGTTTGTGTGTTGCTATTAGTTTTATCTAAAACAAACCATTGTAACGACATTTTCTTTTTATTTTTTTATCATTTTTTTGCATGAGTCTATTGTGTTAAACTTTGATGACGAAGCATCCTATTTAAGGTGTCACTATATGTATGGTTTGCTGCATGCAAGCCCTTGAACTTTGCATATAGATTTATGTCAAATATGTTTAATGTATAATTTATTTTTCATGCAGGGTGGAACACTGCTATTCGTGAGTTCTTATTTTGAATTTGTGCGTATAAGGAACTTCTTAAAGTCTCAGAATGCTTCTTTCTGTTTACTTGGAGAGTAAGAGCACTTCTATCATTTTTACTGATATCTCGTGAGGTCTTATTTTGAATTTGTGTGTATATGGAACTTCTTAAAGTCTCAGAATGCTTCTTTCTGTTTACTTGGAAAGTAAGAGCACTTCTATCATTTTTACTAATATCCTGAAAATTAATATGATTCACATAAACATTAGCATAGTTAATATTTTACGCATTTGGGTTTGCTGCTCTAAATATTTGTTATTTTATGTGATTTACAGTTGTAAATATTGTGTAGGTACACAAAGCCAAGTGATATATCCCGTGCACGGGTTTGGTTTTTTGAAGGCAAGCGGAAGATCATGCTTTATACTGAAAGGGCTCATTTTTATCACCGATATAAGGTTTTAACTGCTTAAGTTTCTAATCGTTTATTGTAGGCGCTTGATGGAAACCTGTAATAGGAAGAAGATTATTCTGATATTTGCAAATTTTACTATGTAGTTTCAGTTAAATCGCATCTCCTGTCACTGAGTATCCTGATGTCGATCTCTTCTGCTAACCTCTGTATATTATTGTAGATTCGTGGAATACAGAATATAATTATCTACTCTCTACCAGAAAGAAAGGAATTCTACCCTGAGGTAACCTTTAAAGTTTATGAGTTCTCTGTTGATGCTGTGGTTCATTTTGTTGGGAATACAACAATTGTAACTCATGTGCTAGCGTTTCTGATTTTTGTGCCATACTTTTCAGATAATCAATATGCTGGATGAATCCAAGAACATGATGTGCAGCATACTTTTCTCTCGTTTTGATCAATTCAAGGTAAGTTAATGATTATTATTAAGTTGTTTTTTGATACTTCTTCTCAAGTTGTATGAAGTTAGCATGCTTGCAGAAGTAAATCACGGTAAGTTAGTAGCCTGTGTTGCAACTGTGTTAACTTTGAGTTAATTGTCAATTTAAGTGGGAAGCATAGGAGATGGAAATATGTAATTTATATGAAATATCTAGCGATTACTGCCACTGTATTCCATAAATTTACACTATTTGCATGTGTAACCTCATCTTCAAAGAAGTTTTGATATTGATGTACTTTGTCGTCACATATGGGATGATCTTGTTTCCACACATCGATTAGCGATAGTGATTCTCAAAACATGCAGGATGGGCTAAAATAACTAGTGAACATAAACATATCAATGTGTACATGACAAATTATCGATTCTGTTTACTGGTTCCATTTCACTCGGTTGGCTTCCATCCATCTGTATAACTAAGCTGTTACACCCTTTGTATTGCCATTTACTCCTTCCTACCACCATTAACTAGATCCAAAGCTGTTTGATTGATTTGTTTGAATGGCTTGAAGTTTTCAGATCTCAAGATCTTCTGTTTTGGATGCTTTTAAGTTTTCGTGCCTCTTGATGGGTTCTTTGATGCATTTGGTCTGTTGTAGCATCGTAATCTACTACTGCCTTTTGTTTGCCCACATTTTCTAGTTGACTAACGTGCAGTATTGTCTCAGCTAGAAAGGATCGTGGGAACTGTTGCTGCGAAGAAGATGTCGTCTTCCGAGAAGGGCATCTTTGTCTTTTGCTGAACCACTGTTGCTGCTTAAGCTTTCTGTGGACATACAGACATGCCTCTCCATATATAATTATGGGGTCCAGTTTTGGTAGCTGCATTATACATTGTGTAGGTTTCTTTTTCGCATAGCGTTGTTCAGCAACGGTTTGTGCGGGGAATGCAATTGGCTGGTTTTCATTATTGGATTTAAAGTTTAATTTGCATGCTCGTGTTATCTTCACAGGCACTGATCTTTCATCTCACCATCTTTCCCCCTCCTATTCGACTGCTTTTAGGTGCCATATGCAAGTAGTAAAAGTGATAGGAGCATTTGATTTAGAGGAGAGGCACCACTCTACCAGCATACATTTCAATGCATCACGATGCTTAGTAACGATTCATCGAACGAATGCTTCTCTTCCCCATCAGCACTACAATTGATCGTGTAGGATATGCAAACCCCCTTTAAACCAAGTAACCCTTACATACGCTAGGCTCGTCCTATAGATACACATGACATCGTTCCCACATACAATATATAGAGCTAAGACATCGATCTACTTTTAGGAGCACTGACCTGTGTACATCAGTTCACTGCATTATAGGAGACGTTGGTTCCTTCTCATGAACCAGTGCACCACCAGCAGCAGCAGCAGCGGAGCTTATGGGGTTCATCTCAGGGATTCAGCAGCGTTGCCATGCAGCCAACTTTGCTTCACATTTCATGATTCCGAAAAATCTGGACTGGCCATAAAAGAGCAAATCACAAAAATGCCCAATACCAAAAACAAGATAACTGTGAATGCAGAAATGTTCTTTGAGATGACACATCCTTTTCTTCATAATGAATAATTTCTACGACCTAGTGAGTTGAGCATGAGTCCACACCTTCACTGCATAACTGTTCAACTCGTGCAACGATATGTTTCCCGTAGGTGTATTTCTTCAAAGCCTGCAGATGAACTTTTATGCGATCGAGCAAGATTTGACGCTGATTATCAGTGCATGTTTCAAGACTCTTCTGAACCACATAATTTGCAAATTGATCCTTCATCATTACCTGAAAAAGGAGAAATGCCAAAGTGCAAACATCAAATTACGGGAGTGTATGCTAAAGACTGGTAAGTCAAATCCCCAGTATCCTCTAGACCCAAACTTCATGGATATCTTGTAGGGTATATATCACTCGGTCCAGAAAAATATAACCAAAAGAAAATTCTAAAGTAATATTCTGCCAAATTAACTGTAATGGAAACGAACTTGTATCAACCTCGATTGCTACTGCTAGGCTTCGTCAATATTTTTCATAATTCTTTAAAAATATTTAATTGCTACAAAAAAATTTGACAACATCATATAGGTTGAATGTTCTATCATACGCATGAGCCAAGAAAATACCATGTTGCCTCTGGTAAATGATTCACCAAGGATTATGTAAAACAGAATGCATTAAAAACACAATAGACCATAGAAAATGATATCGTATACATGCTAGACATGTTCAAATTTAGAAATATTATAGGATGAGCTCATGTTACTTAAACTGAGAATGAACAAAGGAGCAGATGTGACTACAAGCATGAACATTGTTTCTTGAACTCATGTTGAATAAAATACTTTGAAGTTCATAACAAGATCTTGCCAAAAAGCTTCGGAATGCCTACGGTACCATAAAAATAAGTTTCCTACTACTAGATGATAAGCTATTGAGCTATTGAGCATTAGCTTATCATCACGCAATAATGAAAAATCACCTAGAGTTCTAGCCCTAAATTAAGAAGATGCACAACCTATTTGATCTCTTCCCTTTTTTTTTTTTTTTCGTCACAACATATGGCACACTACTGGTTTTCGTTTCCCAGTAATGGAACTAGGAATGACTTGAGCAACCAAACTACAAACGAAATTATGACAAAAAAGTCCACTCATCAATTATCACCAAAACAAGTCCTGATTTGGAGAATAAATCATCAAAACCTACTAAAGCATCTCATTTGATAATTTATTAAGGTTTTGCACAAACCAGTAAATTGTCATTTCCTTCAGTTTGTCCAAGTATTTCCTTGATCAAGTGATCTCTTTCTTCAGTATTGCCATACTCCAAACACTTCTCAATAACATTTGAGGCAAATTTGTGCTGGCTCATCTGTACAATCTGTCCAGATAATTTGCTGATGATCTGGCTTCTTTCATGTGGTTTTTCCCTCTCCAAAACATGCTAAAAACAATATTATTAAGTTAGATGTGACTGTAGGTAACAAATAATATCAACATGGAAAGTTTTACTAAGCAGAACACAAATCAATCACAACTGAAGATGTATAAGTGGTTCCCAGCGAAAAATATTGTCATAATATATAGCGTTCTAATTCCTCTACAACACTGCACTAAGATAAGATACAGTAATTCAAGATCAGGGCCTGTCTGGAATTAAGATACCCCCTTGATCATACAGTTACTACTTAAGAAACAGGGAGAAGTGAGAGAAACTTACTGCATAAAAATTCCCCATTTAAACTGGAGATCATCTATGTAAGTGAAGTCAATTACCATGTACATTATTCAATCATGGGATCAAAGGCTCTAAAAAATGGTCCCTTATTCTTCTGCCTTGTCTCTAGTCAAGCATGTAAACCATGTGAAAAGTATAAAATGGGTAATCCATTGGCTGGTCGAAAAAGAATCCATTAGTGTGGTGACCTTTCCCACTATCAGCCATGTAAACTGATGCACCTTCCAATCCATTTGCTGGTCAAAAACGAAATCATCAGTGTGCCGGCCTTTCCACTATTGGACATGTAAATTGATGCATTTACCAATAAATGAAGTATTGAGGGTCATCATGATGGAGCTATGCCTAACCCTAATTAGCTACGTGCAACTGAGCAGGAGGGGAACCACGTGGTTCTGCAGACTCGTCAAGAAAGAATCACAGGCCAAGCCAATACCCAACTTCATGATCAAGTGAATATATTTGCTCTACAAGAGATTATAACTTAAAGGGCATTAACATTTTCAATTGGACAAAAATACTTGTGCAATTAAAGCCTACTGCTCAGTGTGATGCTGTCATTCAAATAACACAGTACGGCACCACCGAGGTATTTGCACCATGCTGGCATGACAGATAAACACATGATTTGAAGTTAAGCATGACAACTCAACACATGAAATTGAAAACTAAGCATAAGGTGCTGAGTTTCCAATTACCTCAAGTGATAAATGATTATCAAATACATCACTCAAATAGAAGAATGAGATGAACCGTTGCGCAAGGTTGAATAACATACCTGTGTGACATAATTGCCATACTGATCTTGTGCAAGCAGGCAGGCTGACTGCAAAATCTCATCCACGATCCATTGACTTTGAGATTCATCTGTACAATGCTCCAAGACTCTCTACAGATAGGAGAGGATATGCTTTAGTTTAGAATATTAAAAGCAGATTGTATAACTGTTCTCAGAACCAAAATACCACCTAGAAAATAGCAATTTCTAACCTGAATTACTCGGCAGCCATAAGGATGTGTAGAAAGTGTTGCAATTTGACCATGAAATGCAGATATTATAAATCCAATTTTTTCCGTTGGTATACACTCAATGCACTTTTGAATTACATGGTTCCCATTCTGATCTCGAACACACCTCATAACATTTCCATCAAGTTCTTGCACAAGCTGTGTTTTCTGATCAAGCTCAATAACCTCAAGTGCCTACAATCAGAAGAAAACAAGAATTAAAGGATCTGCAAGGAGATGAAGTCAAAGGGAACCAGAAAGCTTATAAAATGTCCCCACCTATTGAAAGTGTTACTTCTGGGAGCCTGAACATATGGCTCAATAACCTCAAGGGATTACAATTTTTAAAACAAAGACTTAGCCTAACTGCAAAAACTTTGTTAATTTTGACCATATATGCAGCAGGTATAAAATTTTAGGCACAATAATCTCTTGCTGAAAGTAAGTGAAAAGGATACATTAGTCTTTACATGTGCTAATTCGGTAACCTTCTACAAAGATAACTAGACAAGACTCAGACAAACTGCAAAAACTTGAGCATTAGATGTCTCAATGTAAATGAGTATCTACACTAACGCTTGAACACAAATTACATATATCTAAAATTGTGCGTCAGATATGAACTTAAAAAGTAATAATAACTGCACAAATTCATATGTGCAAATGATAAAATATTAAAATTTATCAATAATTGGAGATACATCATGTTTTTGGACAAACACACAATGTAAGCACCTAGAGGATGAGATTTAGCATCAATGCTCTTGGAAAATCATGCATGATGATGATGATGACGATAATTGTCCCTAGTAACAGATGAAAAGAATGGTTGGAAATGATCAAGAAGTTCGAGTTGACCAGAATGTAACTGGAATTGGAAAAATTGTACCAGATTTTGTAGTTAAAGGTTCCCGAACTGAAAAGAAGACAAGTGACTTTTCAGAATCAATCTGACAAAGTTCGCATTCTCGAAGCAGAATAAACTCGGCCATCTGTTGGCAGAAACATGTTCCATCTTTGCATCCAAACAACATCATGCTAAATCTAGTTAACACAATTCAACGCTGCTGACATAAAGGTCACACTGGCCATTTATGATATCTCACACGGCAATATGATAATTAGAATTTAAACTCCAACAAAGAAAATATATAAGATGGCGTAAAATGGACCTAAAGATAGCTAGAAGAAAGATATACCTTTTGAATTACACGACAGCCATACATCTGAAGGCTCAAAGGCAAAACATTGCCAACCAGCTTATTAGCAAGTTCTCTCCTCTGTTCAGGACTCCCATGCTCAAAAAACTGCAAGGACAGAGCAATTAATTGAAAAAAAATCCTCATCACATTAATGACAAGTCTCAAAACTAAAACAAAATTACAGATTACAATTTACAAGTTTATGATAAAATTGATCCCAGAAATAGAGAGTGACATGTTTAGATCACCATACCTTTTGAATTACATAATTCCCAAAAACATCAGTCATTAGTGAAGAAGCATGCGGAAGAACTTCCATGAAAACTGATGCTTTTTCATCAACACTACAAGTCTCTAACTTTTGCTGAATAAATCGACTCCCATGTTGATCAGCACTGATGCAAAAAAGTACAGAAATGATATCAATACATCATATAAAAGCTCCAGTACCACAATTAAAAAGGAGGCCAAAATCAGGAAAAAGAGGATTGACTTGCCTAAATTCAACAATATGCCCAGCAATATCAGATAACTCATATCTACGAGCTCTGTTGGACTTTAGCTCTTCAAGGAAAGAGTATGATTTTGGTTCATCAACCTTCTCACGTCCTCTTTGGTTTTGCCACCCGGATAAAGAACCAGCATTTCTTTCAGAGCCGAATGGAAATTTAATATTGTCATTTTTCCTTCCTGAAAAGCTTGTTCCAGCAACTGTTGATCCTTGAAAAACAGGACTGGCAAGCGAGGAGCTAGGAAATTGCATCAGGACACTGTTGTTTGGAGAGCTCCCATAGTAACTGGGACTACCAGTGCCTCCTGTTATAGCATTGAGATTGAGAGTGTTGACACCACCAACTCTCATGACTTGGGGCCTCTGATCAGGTAAATGCGCAGGACCTGGAGCTTTTTGTGGATCATAAGTACCTGGTGAGCTTCCCACAGAACCTCCCCTGGAGATTGTTGGATCATATTGACCTGCAGCAGCATATGCATCCAAAGAGGGATAATTATAAAAAGGCACATACAAAGGATCTGGAAAGGGAGGCTGGATAGCTAGACCCAGCTGCCCGTATATCTTATGCAAGTGCTGCATGTCGATTCCAGAAACATTTCCCCCATCAGAAACTCCAGAAGCCCTAGCACTGAAGTTTGGGCCCACAGCATTCTCAAAAGGCACTGGAATACCACTACGATGATGAGGATAAGCAGTAACAAGCGGAGGCACTAGTGAGGGATTCAACGCATATCCACTTATGCCAAACTGGGAAGGAAGTAGGCTAGAAGATTGCAAATTGTGGTAATATGGAGTTCCATATGCAGCTGCTGTGACATACAATGGAGCAATGCCAGAGGATTGCAACAAAGGCTGAACTTCAACCGAGGGTAACTTTGGTTGGCCATGAGAAAAACGATCCCCGGTACTTTGAGGATAATGTCCTTGGACAATAACCTGAGACTGACCAATCTGAGCATGAGAAGATGAGCTTTGTGGGTAAATGCCAACTTGCTGCATGTATTGCTGTGGTTGATGCCTTCTGTGGCCATCAGAAGACAACCTTAAGTTCTTCAAATCATCTTCAATATTACCACAACCTGAAAAAACCAAACTACCATGTAAAACACTGTTGTCTAAAGTAGTGTGCCACTGACTGATTCATTTTCACCTTGGTGTAGGTTCACTGTCTTGTCAGTGGATGCTGAGCATGTAACTGGCGTGCCACCAAGATTGTCATTCAACATTGATTGAACTGAATGGGAGCCTAGATGAGGAATACAAGCATTGGCAGCAATACTGGGTGATCTTGTCTCTGGGTCAGTAATGCCCATTGAAGATTCTTGTAGAGGGTTCAGAAAGGCACCTTGATTAGGTGCTTGTTCTAACATTATGTGACTCGAGGGATGAGAATGATCAGCATACACAGGAGATGAAGTCTGGGGAAAATCTTTCTGGAACATTACAAACCACCAAGTTTCAAGAGGGACAGTATCCACATATGACATATTAAATATCAAAAGAAATTTATGCACACCAATCATAAATCTCAGAATACTTCTGAGAGGATCTTATGTCCACTGGACTCAGACAAAAAGTAGTAATAAAATCACTTGTCACTATATGGATAGCTAATACAATATTTATTTTTGAGACCCTAACAGGACCAGAGTATTATCACCAAAGAGATGCTCTCTCACCCTACCAAACAGTTTCTATTGGGCTGAGGCGCTCATATATACTGTTTATCACATGCATGAGCACAAGACTGGATTAGGCACATTATACTGCGAAACAAGGCGCAAGTCACGTAGTTCCATTCTAGGATCAGTAAGCTCAATACCAGCAACAACAATCCACAATATATCACAATAAGTTCCAAAATCAGGCCTCCCAAGATGTAGCAATATTGTCCTACTTTAGTTTTTTCTTGATGCATCCTAATTTAGGAGTAAAGTATTTAGGTTATTTGAGTCTAGTTTTCAGTTTTTAAATTTTTATTTATCATAAAATATTTGTATTAAATTTTAGATGTTGGATTTGTGTAGGATAAATCTTACATTATCATTATCTTAGGCTTACATCTGAAACGATAAAAAGATAACATAATTTTAGGATGTAGTAGATGAGTTCAAACTGGAAGCAGATGAGGTAAAGATCTTACTAATCTTGATAGTGGTTGAATTGATAATCTATAAATAGACTTTAATGCATAAACATGTGTGGCAATGATGTTAACATAAATTTTTGGATAAAAGAAACTATGCTTCTTTAGATCTTCTCGTCTAAGTAATGTTTCTTTTGGATAATATTTTTGATTTGATAAATAATTTCTTTCAGTTTGTAGTCTTCTACCAATCCACAGTCTCCTACCTTCTCGTCCTTTCACTCTGATGTTACAAATTTGGTTATCATTTAGTTATTTGTTGCTCTAGTTTGCTACCATAGTCTTGTGATGGTTGTTGCCATGCCATTCCATTGAGTGTCACCTCCAAAGGACAAGTCAAACAATTTCATGATCCATTATTGATCATAAGTGTTATACCAAGCATTATGATCCATTACTGACACCAGTCTGGACTTTTTATTCTGACCAGTATTTTAAACCATTGTTTAAGAGTCTTTAAGATTACATAAATAAGAAACAAACTCCAAGTTATGTAATCATAGACCAACAACAAATCATTGAGCAGGGGCCAGCTAGGAAATGCACCGAAAACAAAAGACAAGGTTCTATGAAAAGGGCAATATTGAGATGCAAATGCTCTTTCCCCACCTACAAACAGGAAAAAAAAAAGCCAACAAGCCATCAGTAAATTCAAACTATTTAAAACAATTACCTGAGCTAAATGTCCTGGTGAAGGAGTGAAATGCCCAGAAACAACATCAGCCTTCATCCAGTCAGTATGTTCCACTCTAGGTGACCTATCATCCTCAGGTTCCTCATCGTGAGTAGAGAGGGCAGGTCGAGAGACAAAGAAAGATGCCTTGTTGCTGTCATCAAATGAGGGCATTCTCCTATTGTCCTCAAACCCACTATTGTGTTGCATCAAATGCCGATTCTCCCGAGAGATAAGAGGTGGAGGAAGCCTCGGATTTAAATTCACATTTGAACAGTAGTATGCTAAGTAAGCTGGATGAGCACAGAGTTGCTCTTCAGAATTACAATTTTGAGCTGCATTGCTCAAGTTTTCCAAGCTGCCATCCAAGTCAGCAGTCCGGTCTTCCAGGATATCAAACGCTGCACGAGAGCCTTCCATGCTAGGAGGTGCACTTCCACTTCGACTGAGGCCAGTGATGCTATTGTTCCCATGGAACCTTTGCCCTTTTAGAAGCGATCCCAACTCTTCTGAAACTATATTGTCTGATGATGCAAATTGTGATGTGTCCTTATTAAGGGTCCAATTTCCAGCTCCATTATTCCCTATGAATCTCAAAGGATTCTCTGTGGCCATTTATTTGATAAGCTGCTTGTTTCTGCACAGGGCATTCAGACCCTAACACAATTCCATATCTCTGAAAGCAAGCATGTTATTTTCACCCTTCCAGAACGTACCAGATGGGAACTCCAACCGAAACTTTAGTTGGAAGGATATTGCAAAAGCAGATGCATAACTTCAGTGAAGCAGCTGCATTTCAACTAACAAATTTAAAAACAAAAATCAGCTTTATGGTGAAATAAGAAAATACATAAAATTGCTATAAAACATTCTATTCAAATAAGGTCAAGTATGGAACCAGCAAATTACGTACAAAGCAATACTGAAAATTGCTTCAACTTTACCTATTGATATTGTATTAAAAAGCATTCATTCAGAACATACATGTATGAACATAAGAAATAGGTAACTGCAGGTAGATAAGGGGAAAACACCTATAGAGAGAAATTTTCTTCCTTTCGCAAATGACAAGTACAGAGTCAAAATTTGTGCAGAATATAACTATCTACCAGACTTATTTATGCTAACTTACTGTGTTTTTTTTACCTAAGTCAGATTGGTACAAAGCAAGTGACCAATCAATTTTACAAGTTAAAGCAGTTCAATCGATTCAATGACAGTTGGCACTATTGAGGATGAGGAACACATAGAGACATACGTATGATTATCTAGTATAACTGGATATTCTAAGACACAGAATCGGCAAGAACCTGCTTACAAGTTTAGCTCCAAATTTCACTAATATAATGAGCAAAAATGTAGGGAAAAAAAAAATACAATAGAAGAGTGAAAAACACTTGAAACATAAAAAAAAAAAATCTAAAGAGGGAAACATCCATTTTATTTATATTATTAATTTAGCACCTGAATATCATTGCCCCGTGCTTAAGTAAACCAATAATATAAAGAAACAGAAGAAGCTGTAGCTACATCACGGAACATGGCCGATAGCAAGATCCAAGCCACAAATTAACTTAGTCAGTCATGTGTCTCATAGTAAAGATAAAGCTTCAAGTAATAGGACCTTTTCGTTCTCGGTTCATTGTCAAGAAAACACGAAGGTTGCAACTTGCACAGTTATATTCCCAGTAAACTTAGAAGCCCATACCTTCAAACAGCTCCAAAATTGAAAAACCCATATCCAAGAATCGAACCGAAATCCCACCGTCCTAAAAGTATCATAAAAGAAAGCATAAAGAAACCAATATCAGGGATGAAAGACCACAAAACTTAACCCTCCGATCACAGACATAACCCCGGAAGAGGCCATTAAGGCAGATCAAGATCCCAATTTTCCGGTTAGAACCAAAAAACGGTAAACCGAACAAGATCAGGAGATGGCCGTCAAACCCTAACGCAAGAACAACAAGGAGACGGGAACCACGACAGATGATTCTCACCTGCTTTCACACGTCACCAAACCTAGCTTTCCCGTACCACAATCCAAACCAAGAACCACGATTCCTCGGTTGTCTCGGCCCAATCAAGAGAGAAATCGTTCCGGAGGTAGAGAAGAAGGCGGCCTCAAGAACAACTCCTCTCTCTCTCTCTCTCTCTCTCTCTCTCTCTCTCTCTCGCCCTGTCCCCTAAAACCCACAAATGCCGGGCTTTTGGAAATTTCTTGCGACCGAGGAGGCTCCAAATGACCTAAATGGCCCTGCAGGCAAACCCTGACTCGGGGGCCCTTCTAGTACACCCGCCACTGTGGGACCCGCTGATGCGGGCTACGGCACGCTGACACGAGGGTACACAGCAGAAAGGGCATTTTGGGCATAACGTGGCGGAGTTTCCTCGTATTTGTGCGAGTGTTGTTATCTCTGAGCGAACAGATGCCGCTCAATTAATCGGGGAAGGTTGGACGCGCAGGAAAGATTCGAGTGCTCCGAGATGACCTTCACACCGCCCCCATCTATCTATCGTGCTTTTTGAAAGAGATAAAGGCAATACACGACCGAGCCTTTTTTATTTCGTGCGTTGATCAACATTCGCTGTGAAGTGAGGTCTCTGTGGACTTTGCATTAAGGTGAATCTGATGTCCGGTTATGAAAGAGGTTATCATATCGTTCAAGTCCTCGTGCACGTACCTGCTCCGTCATCGACGACAGTGATGGGCCCACAAGACGGATCCTCGGAGATCAAGTAAATGAGCGGCAGTGGCATCCGAGGAGCAGGTGGTGGAGACGGGAAGGGGTGGGCGATTTGGTAGTTCTACGTGGCAGCGGTCTCCGCGTTGACAGGCAAACGAGGGACGGCGCACCAGATCAAACTGTGACGTGGCGATGCAAAATCGCACGACGTGCCGCAGGCCATACGCTACCTCACGTTTCTTTTCCCCTTTTTTTTGCTTTGTTCCTCACTGTCGCGTAGACATGTCGCGGGACCCACTAGACGCAACGGAGAGTCCCCAGCGTCCCGTTGAGGCTCGAGGCGGCTGATGGCTCGCGTCCCGCGAACGCGCCCCCGCACGTGCAAATGCGCGCTTATCGTGTCGTCTCCTCCGACGGAACGCGACGACGGCCGAGTCGCGGTCGGACGAAGGCTGCACGAAGTAAACAAGTGGGAAAGCAGACGCGAGACACCAAAGTGTTGTTAGAAACCTCACTGCGAAGCTTCCTGTCTCCGTGAATCATATGAACGTTCCTTCTGTTCATAGTGTGAAATGAGAGTGCTTTCTTTTTCTTTTCTTAAGATTATACCGGGAGAAGGAAAAGTAGATTCCAAGCCACATTGTGGACGGGGTAACGCGTCAAAACGGAGGAGCTAGCGAAAGGGGAAAAGTGGCATCAGGCACGACCACACTTTAGGTTAAAGATTTCAAAAACCGCTTCGGATTAAAGTTCTCAAGAACCACTTTGGATTAAAGATTTCAAGAACCAATTCAGAGAACACATAGAGAAACGAAGAGATTATGAACTGCAAGAGTGAAGCACTGCAGGATGGAAAGACGCACTGGAAGGCAAAATGGTGCAAATAAAGTTCGTGAAGCATAGGAGATCAAAATTGTATGAAAGGGGATTTGGAATGCGAAAACCCACCTCGGCATCGTTGCCAGATCGAGCGCCCATTTCCGCCGGTCGACGAATTGAGGCCGTGAGGCCCGTGGTCGAGGCCGGAGAAGGATGAGGCGGACGGCGCTGGAGTGCTCCCGACCCAAGAACGTTCGGAGCCGCTCCCGCTTCTTGGCGATGGTGCGGTCGCGAAGCATCGCCCGTAGCAAACCTCGCGGCAGCGTCCGCCATCCCGATCGAAACCCGCAGGAGGAACAAGAATCTCCCTATCGGCCTTCTCTTGCTGCTCGATCGGAACCCGTCGCGTTGGCGGGATCTTCAAATGGGAGCGGATACCGCGTTGAAGTAACAGCGCAAGAAGGGTTTTCTCTTTATTTTATTTTATTTTCTTTTCTTTTCCTCTATAAATCTTAAGTTAAATTTGATTAATATGTTAAAATATAAAATGTCTAAAATAGTGTCTTTATTAAAGATTTATGATTTTACTAAAAAACAAAACAATCTGTTTTATTTTGTATGAATTATATATATATATATATGTATATATATACATATGTGTATATATATATATACATATGTATATATAATATATACACACATATATATATATATATATATATATATATATATATATATATATATATACATATATATGGAATGTAATAATTTCCAAGTGGAATATAATTTTCCAATATTGCTTAATGTACAAATGTCATATATATTCGAACCCGCATTCATTTGCAATTTTGCTAGGGTTTCCCCGGTGACGTTGTCTCCATCTCCTTCGAGTTTGCTCCATGGAGTCCCTCTGCGGCTCCGGTATCACCTCGGGGTGGATCGAAGCCTCTGTCGCTCACCTACCCGAGCGCTTGTCCCGCGTCGGAGCCCCGACCTTGCGTCTTGGACTCCATGGGGACAGAGGAAAGTTCGCTTCTTTGATGCTCTGGAGCCCTCCGCCGAGCCCTCAGAAGTGGGGGAGAAGGTGGCGGGTCCTCGCACATGAAGCCTCCGGTGGTTGTGGGGAGAACAATGGTGTTCCGACGAACGGGTTTAATGTCCTGATCAACGATGGCCGGGCGTTTCCTGAGGTATTTTGCGACGACGGTCTCGATGACTGAAGTTTTGTTTCTGTGGCATCTGAGGTGGCCTTTTCTGCCATTTTTCCATCACAGATACAACTTAAATCTCTGATTAGATATTCAAAATCTGTGATTGAAAACCTTATATCAATAGAGCCAGATAATTACTGTACATAATTTTATGTCCGTAGTCAACATATTGGTAGGTCTATATATCAACCAACAAAACAGAGGAACAGAAGCGAAGAATAGATTAAAAATTCTCCTTTTTTTTCCGTTAGGAGGATTGGTGGGGGCATTTTTGAACTCACGAGAGCGGTCCACAATCAGATTGGTGGAAATGTATCTGAGAATGCTACAGAAAATAGTATCACAAACTAATGTAAACGAGCAATCCTTACCACAATTTGAAGACCGTTATTTTATTTTAATCATTTGAAAGAAAGAACTAACTGAGAAACCTTGGAGTCAACGATTAGATTTTATGTTTTCGGTTTAGAGTGATCTTTATCGACATCAATCCCGGCAAGTTGTTATAATTAGTTGCATTGTCAGCTTTAAAAGCTAGTATGCCTAATTTCTGTCGTTAGCAGAATCATTTACTAAAAAGCAATTGTGATAGAAGACACAGCTTTCATGTCCATGCAGAAAATCACCGTACTTGATTCTTATTGGTCACCTTGCACATGGGTGTTTTCTTTTTTAATTTTCTTTCGCCCATGTTATTGATGATGGGATACAAAGAAACGTATTTCATGTTAAATTTTAATGCTAACCATGAGACTGAAAAAAAAAATAGCAGAAATAATTTTGATGTTTCTTTGGCCATTTTTAGAATGACTCAGTTCAAGATGGAAGCCATGAGAGTTGCATCAGCGAGAAAAAGGAGATGGTACAACCTGTTGCTGTTGGAAGTGGAACAACTGGATCCAAAGCTGGGCTTTTCAGGACACCAATTTCTGGTGGTGTTCAAAGTGCAACAACAGTCCATGGTTTACCTCCACCAGCCTTGGCTGTTCGCAATCTAATGGAGCAGGTATATTTAGCCAGAAATATAATAGTGAGGGATTATCGAAATATTTTTCTTCTTCCTTCTTTTCATGGTTTCCATCTGCATTTGGTTTTCTTGGGGATGTGTAGATCAATGCAGATGACATTCATTCTTTTTTCCTTTGCTCTTCATGTCAAAAAACCAAGGCCAAATTTGGACAACTATGCACTATAATGTCAGGGATGCATCATCACCGTGCTGGTTACCCAGTTGGTTCATTGGTTGATTTTGCACCTGATTCAATGGGGCGTAAGTATCATCGATATCTTAAAATTACATCCAACTGTACTACTTAAACGAAATTCAAAGCTTATTATATCTGTGTCATTTCACAGATCCTATTTTTTCATTCTCTCCATTAGCAATCCACACAAGGAATCTGTTGGCAAATTCAAAATGCTCGCTTGTAGTGCAGGTGCGCCTTAGCTTAATTGATATAGACAACTTTTAAAGACTTCTAACACAAGTGATGTTTTTATCTTTCCTGCTAAATGCAACTTTTGGCCGTAGATACCTGGATGGAGCTCTCTATCAAATGCACGTGTCACAATATTTGGTGATGTTTTCCCACTTGCAGCTGATGAGCAGGTTGTTGACAAGTTATATGAGTATTCTTTCTTTCCATTCTTTGCTAATTTTCAGAATAGTATGCAGATATGTTATTTTACAATATATGAATACTCATATTATTCGCGACAGAGATGGAGATACTGATGCAGCGTAATGTTCTTGGTTTTTATTCATGATAAAAGGAAGCCCTCTATGTTAGATGCACATTAGGAGGGATACTGATGCAGTATTATGGGAATTGGTATGACTAGTCAATTGGTATAGGTTTCGCTAGGAAAATAAGGACTTGAAGTAGTCATAGAGTTTTGTTGCTCACATAGGTAAGGGAAATTTTGTTCAGAGGGTATTATGGTAATTGGCATGACAAGTCAATTGGTATTGGTTTTGCTAGGAAAATAAGGACTTGAAGTAGTGATAGAGTTTTGTTACTCACACAGGTAAGGGAAATTTTGTTACTGCTTGGACATGGAAATTTTGTTCAGAGGGAGGAATGTTGGTGTTTGATTCCTTTGATAATGCAGCCTCATTCGTGGTGGAATTTTCTTTCAGTTTTTCATGTATCTCATGGCTGCTTCCAAGCAATCCACTGCTGATGCTGTCAAATAATCTGAGGCTGCTGATGGGCATAAATATCTGCATTTTCAGCAGTAAAGGACCAAAGCCTAGGAGTGTAATCAGTCACATGAGACGGGCTTTTAGGCAAATCCTAAAACCATACTAATTGTAGATAATTGGTTCTCCCACTTATCATTCTTCCTTTGATTTACCAAATGAAAAGGTTAGTTGGAAGATTTTCTCTCCTTTTTTTTTTGATAGATAATTGGAAGGACTTTTGTGAATCAGTTTCCCTTTCTGTTTTGTTTTGTTTTTTGTGGCATTAGTGCTGCTGACACTGGTATTATGATGTCATTAATATTGCTAAATGGTTTTAAAAACCTTGAAAATTAGTATACTAATGAAAATTAATGATGAAAATTTTATTGTATATTTATGAAATCTTATGTTTTATCAATTTCTTTCCAATTGACTTGAGCAAGATGGAGGGTTCAGATCGATACTTACAATATATACATTTGAGTAGAGCCTAAAATATTTGATTTTTTGAGGCTTTCTCTCATACCGCCACAGATGATTCCTGACATATTTGACTGGTGTGAAATCTTCAGACAGAACATGCATACTCCCAATGGGAGCTCTTTTGGTTATAAATGTTACTCAGAAAATCCAGAAGTTTCTTGTGATTGCATCAAGTATATCCTGCAGAGTAAACTGGTTTGCTTGAAATCAGAAATTTACTATGTTGTCGCATGGAATTTCTTTCTTACGTATTTTGTCGAAGTTCCACTGGTTACTCTACATTTTCATGCTTAATTTGACACAATGTAGCTTAGATTCCTCAAATATTCTGATGAAAAATACCTTTACCTTTGCATTTTAGATAAGTAAAAGTTTGTTCCTAAAAACCTCAGGTTTTCTTTTCTACCTCAGGAATGGGCTCGTCAGCAGTTTGTTGCAAAGCACCAACAATGGGCATCCCAACAATGGGGCAACTTCTATTATTACAGGATGCAGAATATTAGGTTAGGCTTCAAACCTTTTTTTCCTGCTGTAGCTTGAGTTTCATAAGAACATATATATATATATATATATATATATATATATATATATATATATATACACACACAATCATATGTCAGTGTGTTCATTTATCAGGAAGCTCATGAATATAGTAGATAGCAAGGTTCGCAATACCGTACCGTACCGGTATTTCGACCTGGGCTCGGTACCGGTACGGTACGGTATACCGAGCGGTACACCTGGGTATACCGAGTACTGTAGCACTGTTACAGTGCTACAGTACCTCGGACCGGTAACAGTCGGTCTGCGTACCGAAAACCTATCGGACCGATACGTACCGCCCGTACCGGGCGGTACGGCTCGGTACGGCAGACCCTGGTAGATAGTAGACAATATGCTCAGTGGCATACTACAAGGTTTGCAATTTCGGTTTGTATCGGCATACCGAGCTATATGCCTAAAATAGCTGAAAACACTAATACATATTGTATTAGTGTTTTCAGCTATTTTAACTAAATTAGCTAAAAGGTCGGTAATAGTCAAAATTGATCAGTAACGCTCGGTACAGGTTGGTAACGGTCAAAATTTCGACTGTTATCACTCGATACAATCCCGTATCGCCCGATATGGGGCCAAAAATTTGGTACCGCCCGGTAACAGGCGGTCCGCGTGCCAAGACGCTCTCGAATTGGTACATACCTCTCGTACCGAGTGGTACACATCGAAATTATAAACCATGGCATACTAATAGGCTGGCTCCAACACAAGCAACTTATATGATGTAATGGTTATTCTTGTAGTAGGAAAGTAGCGAGAACTTTTGGATCCAAGAAAACATCATAACATTTGCCGAACTTTTAGAGATGTTTGACATTGTTTAAAAAGCACTTCTGCAGTCTATAAATAAAAAGAAAGAGAAAACAGCTGTTTGTCATTTTTCAATTAAACTACTTATCAGCAAATATGTTACTGCCCATTTTTATCAAGGAGAATATTTGCCGAACTTAAATTGTGAATAAGTTAATACCTTTTAGGAAGAGTCTTGTGACTTGTTTAAACACAGACGCAACATCAAACATACCCTTAAACCACACCTAAAATTCCAACGTACCTATTAATTGTTTTGCATTTTCAGATTTTAAATTCGGAGCATTTGTCTTGTCCGATGGCCCTTAAACCACACCTAAAATTCCAATGTACATATTGTTTTGCATTTTCAGATTTTAAATTCAGAACATTTGACTTGTCCAATGGACATTGTTATGTGAAGTTGTTCCAAACTGTAATGAGAATATATTAATTTTTAAGATTTTGTACCTTTAATATTTTTTGGTATTCTTAGCCTTTTCCCATCTAACAATGCAGGAACAGATGCAAAAATGCACCTGTTCTTTTTTTTTTCCTGAAACTTATATTCTTTTTCTGCTCTCTCACGCACACACATAAATTTTGGTGCTTTATTTCTTATTGTCTTCCCTCTATGCTTGCTAGATCAGTTCTTCACTTACGTGATATTCAACTGATGAATTACTTCTGCATGACTGACGTCACTTTTGACATGGCACAGTGACATATACTTCATTGGAGGATTTGGCACTGTTGCATGGGTAGATGTCAAGGAATATGAGGGCTTGAAACCCGATAAGATTGCTGCTGACAGTGGAGAACAAAATTTGAAGGTCAGCTTTACAAACTGCTGCATATTTTACACTAAATGGCTGAGTTTTAACTTTATTACTGGTTTGATCTTGAAAAAGGTTTCAGTAGTGATAAAAAAACCTGGCCCTCTTTTTGGCATTTGACTTAACATTTTCTTCATAGGAACTTAATGCAATCTTTTCAAAACCAATCAAGGATATCTTATCAACAGAAACTGAGATAGATGATGCTGCTTTTATATCTGTAGACAGCAAAGGTACTGATGTGCGGGTTAGGCAAGGTGCACAGGTAACTGCTGTTTCCCTTAAGTGTTGTTGAAGATATCTAATCCTTGTGATTGGCAGATCCAGTGTCAGTTTAACACCTTAACGTTTTATAACATTTAAATGCCTGTTTAACCAATATGGTGTAGAAGGTGGCTTTAAAGAATATATCCAGCTTTGCTTGTGCTTTTATTACAAGGCAACATTGAAAGGGAAACACATGCCTTGGTTTGTGGATGCATCATTTCGCCTGGAACTGTCCCTTCATTAATTTCTTTTTGTGCTCTTTAAATTTGTTAGATCGCTTTAGAGCTGTTAGCATTATAGTGCTGACAATTGTTTTGCTTATTGCTTCTCTTGAAGCCTCATCTCTGGAAAATATTATAAAAGCTTTAGTTGCTTGTAGTTTCAATTTTCACACATGCTCTTTGAGTTTCCTTACTCTCTTGATTGTCTGTATATGGTTGGACACACGAATGATATAAAAGCAGCTCCCCTTTTCATAATATTCTAGTGGAAGCATCTTTCTTTCCTAGTTTTGTCACTCTGCTTTTCTAGTTATAACAGACAGATGCTCTTACTGTTTCATGGACATTCAACCTTTCAACTATTTTTCCCTCCTATACGAGAAACCTGAAATAATGGTCATTTCTTATTTTGAATTTAGGTGGTCAGTAACTTATAAGGTCAGCAGGAAGCTAATCTTTTATAACAGTGTTTCATTATGTTTTAGTTTCGTTGTAGCTTCAGTTGTTTTTGATTGAGCTAACGTGCAAACCCTATCGCTTATGAGACCTTAGGTTTGTATATGGATGTTGTCGGTATTGAAGTGTGCTTGCTGAGGACATGTTTGTACTCCAATGCAGTTTAACATTCAAAGGATATCATTTGAAGTCGAACATGAAGTGCAGACACTGGATGAAGCAAAAGCAGCTCTTCAAAAGATAATAGACAGGTCTTGCAGTTCAATGTCACAAAAAGGGAACTGAACTATATCTTCGTCATTTACGACAATAACATCAACTTGTCATGAATATCGAAATGATCCAGGGACAGGCCATGCAATTAAAGGATTCTCTGGAATGACTTGAATAAAAGAAAAAACAAATTTGTTCTTCTTTCTGCCCTTGTTTCTTGACCTTAAAGGGGCCATGAAGATCTCCCTTTTCCTAGTCTTGAAAGTATGTGTTCATAATTGTGGGCATGTAATGAGGCTGACTCTGCAAAAGTTGAACCAAATACTTGCTTTCATGAATTTGAATCTCGTGGGTAGTGACCCGATACACAAAAAGAGCAGCTCATGTATCAAAAGTATAAATAAAATTTAAGCACCATACCAAAGCATGATGGTATGAATTTGATCGTTGTTACCTACTGTCATGAATCTGTCTTTTTGTAGTGTGGTTTATCGTGTCGTATGTTCCTGAAACATGCTTGTTGTATTGCTTGTTTACACTATTTGTGAATATCCAATGATGTTTGAGTTCCAATGGCGGAGACAATAATGTACAGTCCCCTCGTACATGCTCTTGTTTTCTTGTTGTGTTCATGCATGCATGGATCTAAGAATTGCTAGTGATTTAACCTTTGAATGCATGTGGGAGATGAAATGGGAAGACGAGGAATCTGTGGAATTCCTACCACCACCAAGATTTTCTCATTTCCAAGCTTCTTAATTTTCTGTTCGCCTTTTCTCCAAGCTGACATTTTTTGCATCACATCCAGAAAGGAGTGGAATTTCAATGAGTTTTATGCAAATTTAAGCTGAATTTGAAGTAAATTTGCTGAGCAATAAGATACAATTTTAAACAGAATTTTACGTGCAATCACGCTATGAACCGAAGATATGGAGAATCTAGTAATTGTCCGAAGAGTCCCGGGAAAAAATAACAAACAACAAAATTTTGGCATCCGACCTACAGGAAGATTTCTCAACATACAGGATTTGTCAAGTCTCTTCAAACATCATCATAGTGATCCTTTACACCATCTTTCTTACAAAATTATCCATTCTAAATTAACAAAAAGGGGGGAACACAAAGCTATACAGACTCAAGATACCAAGCCACCTCTTTAAATTGATAGATCACAATCTCTTCCAAGTAATACTGAAGCTAAAAACCAAACATGCAAATTCCAGAGAGGGCATAAGTAACAGCAAATATTTGGACATTAAACTTGTCCGTCACACCGGTATGACGTCAACATTTGAAGTGTCTTCACATCGTAAGACTATTCCGTTGAGGTTCGCTGGAGCTATGCACTTTGCCCACTGGCATCCTGTGGAAATGGGCTCAGATGGAGGAACTATCATCAAGACATTGTCGTTCTTTCGAACAACCCCCATTACACTTACAGTGCTGCCCTCTTTGACATAACTGCATCGAAAATGATCAAGTGATTAACCTAATGAATCCTGTAGAAAAAGATATGTAACATGGTAATCCCTTCTCTCATCAGTTCCTATGAATAGTTTAAAACATGGGTTTGTGAAAAGGGATTCTGATGAGAAGACAATACTCCAGCAAGAAAAGGGAATTATTCACCTATCAGAACAAAAAAGATAATCCTAGCATCTTCCTTCTTTTTGTCTACCACTGAAAGACCATGCAAAGAGCCAAAACAATAACTATCTGGTGATATACTAGCAACTATAATTTCAGATTACCCTTCTTTCAGGCGCATCTCGCGGTCGTCACTAGAAAGGCTCCTCTCTTGCAACCACCTGAGAAATTCAGGAGACAAGTCCTTGTTGTTTGGGTTGATGTCGACAATGAGGGACTCATCAACATATGGGGTCACCTTAGAACCATAACCAGCTTTGACCAGAGCTCTTAATCCAGATTGAAAATCAGATATATAAAAGTCAACCACATGCCTCTGTATCACATAAGATGACTGAGAGGGTCAGAACAAAATAATAAAACTGGAGCAAACATGATTATTGTTTAGTGTAAAAATTTCCAAATTATGATGGTTAAAATTTTCTCTGTTTTCTTTATTTCATATATAATTTATCTCTAATAAGTTCAGTTATTTTAAAAGGTGGCATACCTCCACTGTTCTTAATCCCCAAGTAAAACGTCGATGCTGGGGATTGGCAGTCTTCGAGTTCCAGCCCCTGTATTCATATAGGCCAGTAGATGTGTACACACATCTTGGAACCTTATGGTATGATGACTCGAGAGGAAAATTCCCACATGTAACAACCTGCAATAAGCTTAAGTTAAATATATAGAATTGCACCAAAGAACCATAAACTAAGGCAGGTAGGCAAACAGACAGACAACAGATACGCACACAGAAAGGAGTACTGGAAGTACATAAGAAATGTATTTAACAATATGCAGATTGCATCTTGAACTGAGAATTGGTAAATGAAAGGAAGGTTATAACTTAAACAAAAAAGGCATGTTTAGCAATACTTCACATATTAGACCATCAATAAAAATTCCACAGAAAGACAAAAGAAATAGTAGTTAAAATTTTTCATGGCATCTGCACTAAAATAACAGAAAATCCAAACATGCTAGTGAGTTCATAGGCAGCCTAAAGGGCACTGCTTGCAAGAAACTGAGAGCAATTCTGATCATCATATGCAAACTTGAAAAGAATAAAGGTAATTACTGAATGCTCCCTTTCACGATTCTAGAGAACAATAAAAAAAAATATTTTTCAACTTACATACCCCGGAGACCTTGACATATTGCCCATCTTTTGCAGTTCTCAAATCAGCATCAGGATATTGGGCAATGAATCCTATGATTGCTCTTCTTCCAAAACAAGTATTCCAAAAGGAAAGCATGACAACAACTCCAAGTATAGTTACAACAAGAAGAAGAAGAATGGGATTGTGAACAGCACCAAGAATAAAGCCACCTGCAATAAAACCCATCACAAACAACAAAATCACAGACCAAAGGATGGGCTTAGGAAAGCTCCCCTTGAACAACTGATCATTCTCCTGGCTGAGATTAGTGACGGCTTGGTTATGAACAATGGAGGCATTATGTAGCTTCATCGATTTAGTGGATTCCAGAGGTCCTGATAGTTTCCGGGGGGCGCCAGATGAATTAAGCGGCCCAGAGGAAATTGGGCCAGAAGTGATGAGACCTGTAGTGGGAAGCAGAGGGCCAGAATTTTGGCGAGCCATTTGGGTGACACCTCCAGATTGAGGCCCAGATGACTTCTTAACTGAATCTCCATGTTTAAGTGGCCCAGAGTTGGATTTCTGTCTACCGGAACCGCCAGTGACTAGTGAAGAACCAGAACCTGGAGCTGCATAAGAAAGAGAACCAGGATAGCTAGACTGACCAGAGGCATTAGGCATAATGGGCCCCGAGTTGGAAGCAGCACCACCAAACGATCGATTTCGTGAAGGGACATTAGCAAGGGGACCAGATTTTCTAGACTTTTCCACATGAAGTTCAAACATCTTCCCAATTTCTCCAGACTTTTTAATATCTCCACCTGTATATGGCATGGCTGTGGAGCAAATTGTAGGAGATTTCTCCTTGGGTTGCTCAGGTCGGCCTGACACATAGAGGCCATTGCTGAGCTGGTGTGATGGGAATCTGGAACCCATCAGGCTTCAAATGACAATAGATCTCGGAAGGCAGATGGCAGATGGTTAGTGTAGTCCACAGGGATCAGCACTGAGATTTAATATTTGAATCATCATGAGGCTCAAATTGCAAGTTAAGCACAAATCCACAACTTAATCTTCAAGCACTCTGTTAAAGCACCAAGAAACCATGTCAGAGATGAAGAAAGCATGTCCAGGCACACTCTGACATTAATACTAATAAACCAACATGCTAATATGTTCAGGTTTCTTACATCAGTGGTGAAGAATACATGCAATGCAATTAGCCCATTAGGACATTATGAAGTGATTAGAATTTGAAAAGAACAAGCAACTTTTGTAAACAAAGCAAGGCATCTCCAAGCCAGAAGAGAATTTCAACATTAAATACGAATTAGGAAAATGACAGCAGAGGATGATAAGTGATAACCTATTCGAGCAAGAAAATTGGGTTATATCCAAAAATTAGCATTAATTCCATTTTTAGCATTGCATCTAAAGACAAGCCGTTGCATGTGAATCATAAGCATAGGCAGGGAATTTTTCAGAAAGGAGAACAATTACAAAGCACAATGGATGGAGATGACATTAAATTTTTTCAGAAAGTCCTTGTGCATCCTTCTCGTCTTCCAATAGAAACTGTATCTAAGCCACGTACTTGCACAGTAATATCTTTCATACTCTGAATGTCGTCCACTTCAAAAATTTCTTTCCATGTGAAGTTAATGGGAAAAGAATCCGCGGCCTAATAGCCTCGTTTTACCATAACTCCCTAGCCAGAGTTGATCTCTTTATTTCAGTAATATATCACCTTCGAGTAGAAAAAGGCATCTCAATAGATTGATTGCCTTTGATTCAGTTTTCAATCTTTCACGCTGGTTTAACCATCCTTTTATAGCTACCTATGGGTCATCATTACAGATCTTCAAATTTATGAGTTCACATTGAAACCAACATCTGCAGAAGAGAGTCAAGAAACAATTGAGGGTGGCCAGATAAGTTCTACTGAGCTTCCTATATTGAATTGCAAACCCAAACTATGATTTTCTTGAAGTCAGGATGGAATATTTTTAATCATGACAACATTTTTTGCATCCAGAATACAAATGGAAGATTCAGGTTCCACATCCAGAATTGCAAACCCAAACTATGATTTTTTTGCATCCAGAATACAAATGCAGCGCTAAAAGTTCCACACATCCATTTAGTCAATCCCATGATGTTAAATTGCTCGGGTGGTAATAGTAGGAGACTGCTTATAAGGCTTAAGTGGAAGACCTAAAATTAATAGTCAGACACCTAGAAAAGTTACCTTGAAAATGATATAGATTATATGTGCATATAAAAATTAGGTGCAAACTTTTTCAATACGCATATTTTTTTATAAAACACATCACATGCGGTCTTCTTAGAATCACTTTCTGAAGGTCAGGTATGTTCTGATCATCCATTATCTCATAACAGCCATTCATGTTGGAAGATACTTCTTAAAATACAAAGACAACATATATAGGTAGATGCAAGATACAAGCATATTCAAATAATTGAATTTTAGCATCAGGCATCATGGCTAAAAAACAGGAATAATAAAAAGGATTTACCAAATACATGTGTTCATTGCACTAATATAGGACTATCTTTTTCACTTAAAACATGTTCAAAGAACAACCCATGCCGCTTTACTTAAAACGATAAGTATTCTTGTGTTTTTACCCTTTTTGAACTAAATCCTATTGCCTATTACTAGTCATTATTTATGGCCACTTACATACTATTAGGTGCTCCGTCAATTACTTGGCTAGAAACCGAAAAGCAGTGAAGCTGAGTGGATGTCAAAAGAAAAGGTACAAAGAGTAACACTCGATGCTTGCTCTAAAATAAACTATTAAGCCTTGCGAGGATTCAGATTCTTGACGAACCCATAGTTACCATTGCCTATGAACCAAATGCAGGATCAATTAGAAAAATGAACACATCTAGAATCGACCTAAGTCACTAAAAATTGGGAAAAACATGTACAAAAAAAGTAGCATCTTTTCAGCACAAGTCTCCAAAATCATAACTAGATCGATCACAGCGAAAATCCAAGATTCGAGCCTTTGCACCATTTCCAAGAATCAAGCTTTTGACAGATCGCAGTTATCATGTGCATCAATAATTTCTTCCCATTCCAAACCCCCCTCGAAATTGACCTCACGAGGCAACTAGAACTCATAACACCTCAATCAGCACCTACCAATGAGACAAAACAAACACTTTTACAGGGGTAATGAACTTAAACGAAAAAAAAACCCTGCTTGCTTGATTCCCCTCTCTCCGCCTCCGAAGAACTCACACTCGGATCCAAGTCTCGGAAGTCGCAAAGAAAGCAAACCAACAGTCTAGATCCAAAACTAGAGGGAGGAATCAAAACCCGCACTCCCCATACTAATTAGAACCTAACAAGCAATACCCAATTACAAGCGGGGACTCGAGATGCTGCTGTCAACGCCCCCAACAAACCACTCAAAAGGAAACCAAACAAGAGAGAGAAAGCTCCCCTACCTCGACGAATTTCCGCGCGCGTTGGATGAACTTAAGAGCCTTCGGGCGGATCATAAGCAGGCGGAAAATGGAGCTAAACTGCTACAAAATCGCCGCAGAGAGATGTGGACTGACCCAAACAGAACCTCGACACAGAGAGAGACAGAGAGAGAGAGAGAGCGACGCAGAGCAAGAAATAACAGTGGGGAGAGAGAGAGAGGAGTACAGCTTCCAGCTTCACTGTCTCACCTGGGTATTGGGCTGTAACTTTCTAATGGATACTCTTTTCATGAAATGACCATAATAGCCTTAGGGTTTCCCATCACACTCCTCTTCCTAATGCTTTTCTAAGAAAAAAAAAATTATTATTATTTTTTTATGCCATTTGCTTTATGAAAATAACTGAAAATTGATAAGAACATTTTAAGCCATTCTTGAAAAAAACAATTTTGTAATTCCACAACTAAGGATGTGTGTACTTCCAAACAAATACCATTTAATAATACTAAGTAAGTGTCACCACTTTGTCTTTGTTTAATCTCAAACCATTTTAGTCATTTGGTCCTCAGAACTATTATTTTATATCATGGAGAGCGTGCATCTCTGTCGGCTGTCCACAAATTGCAATTTATATGTATCACTGTCATTTATTTTCCTTTATGTTTTTTTTTTCTTTTTCCCTAATGTATCTTTGGTTAAATTGTTATTTTTATTAATATTTCCTTGTCTTTTCCTATATAGTATATAATAATAATAATTTGATGGTTTTCATTATATACAAAGAGAGGAAGGAAAGTATAATTTTGTCCTTACGTTATCTCATCCATATAAACTTCAAACTGAAACTTAGGCTTATTCTGTCACATCGAGTTCCGATCCGACCACAAATACAAGTCTCGTGTTAGGTGGCCGCATTCAGCTGCGGCGGACAGAGTTGATGGTGTTGGGTGGCGTTGCCATGAGAGCAATCACCACCTCCTTGCATGAGGACTTCTTTTTGGAATCATTGTGCGCGGTTGGGGATTAGAAAAGACTAAGGAGGTCAATCCAGCTAAGTATCTTTAATCTTTGTCGATCCAGCTAGCTAAGGAGATTAAATATAATGGGGTTAGAAGGAGGAGCTACCGATGTGGCTTTCAAGGAAGGAAGGAAGCAGCGAGCATGGTCCTGTAAAGCAAAGCAGCATGATGTGAGTCACATTATTTTGTGCCAATGGCTGCAGCTACTCCCAGCAGTTTGTACTGGCAGCAGTGTCGTCATCACATGGCCTCCTCATGGTTTTGGTGATACCATCACCTGGTTTGCCATCTGCAGGTTGCCCCCACCGAGAGACAAGCAGAACTGTGCTGCTCTGGTCTGCAACCAGAGCTCACAGTTTTGGGGGAGGGATCAGTTCATGTGGCATATGAGGGGTCGTGATGGCTTCGCTGACAGCAGGTGGATAAAAATCTTTTGAAGCTGAGGCTTACCCACCATGAGCTACAGTATTTGCCACCATCACTCGGGGGTTCAACTCATCAATGCATGCATTGCACCGGTTTCTCTGCCACCTTGATGCATGATTGGACTGCAAAACAATTTGAGAAACACAACATCAGCAAAATCAAAGTCGGGATACAGATTAAGGCAAAGGGGAAAAAATGGTATGTGGATTCTGTTGTGGTAGATGAGGAAATATAAGTTTCAGAGTCGATCAACCAGCTGGGGAGAACTGATGCAGGGGAGAAATGGATTAGGTAGAACCTTGTGGTCAACGAAATTATAAATTTCAAGAGAGACAAGTTTGATCTGTCGTTGCTCTCACAAAAAACATTACTTGCTCCATCTAGTCAAACATCCTGTCAAACAACCATTCACAAAATGATATTTAATAATTTGATCTCAAGATTCTTCCTTTAGAAAAAGGAAGGAAGAAAGAGAGGGAACAAGCATGTCTGCTATTGACAGAAGGGGAGGGGGAGGAGGTATCAGTCTAAGTTTAGACTGGGCCAAGGATGTCTGCATTCACAAAGTGTAAGCTTTGGGTAGAATCAAGTTTATTTATATACAAAAAGACTGTGTCATCTTGTATATACATATACAAGATTATGAAGTTTCTTTTTTACTAAGAATATTATTTTGTACTAATATCAGTGACAAAAAAAAAAAGATACGCAGAGTGAAGTTCAAATAGTTGAGATATTAAAGTTTGTTGTTGAACAACCTGCATCTCATAAATTTCCAAGATTGTTAATAATAATGAAGTTTTTCTTTTACTAAGAATATTACTTTAAACTAATATCAATTATGAAAAAAAGATTCATATAGTGAACTCCAAAATCCAAATAGTTGAGACATTATGGTTTGTTGTTGCGTTGCATACATAACAAGTGTTTTCCCATTATCAGCAGGCTTTCCTTGAAATTAATCTTGAATCAGTTGATGAAAAGCTATAATTGGATGGTGCACATTAATTTCTTGGTACCAACAGATGCAAAATGCAAGTGAATACAATGCCTTTAAACGCAAAAGCTAAGAGAACTTGGTTGTTTCTTTCATCTTGTAAGAGAGAGGAAGACCATTAATTAACCGATATGCTAACATAGTTTTATGAGGTCTCTGACATGTTTGCTTAAGATAGACTTTGTAAAGATTGTGTTTCAACTGACCTGATGTTTGCAAGTTTGGGTTCCAGAAATGTTCAGAGGACATTCTACCATCTTGGTGGTGATGTATGCCTTGCTCTGGAATTCCTTGTATTGTGTTTGAGTCTGCAAAGATGTCAATATACAACACAGAAATAGTACTAAGCAATAAGCATCCATTGCAATTTGATTAGTTTAGTTCCAAATAATTAAATCAAACTCATCCAGCAATCCCACCAAAAAAAAATAGTAAACACCTAGAGCTAGCAGAAGACAAGAAATATTAACTGAAACAGGAAAGACAGGATAAAAAAACAAGAAACAATAGTTGGCTGCAAGAAACAGGCTATGGTTTGCAAAATAAATCTGGAACATTTTTTTCTCCTTTTGAATCTTCATCTAACATACCACAGGCAAAATGACTGCATGGAGACTCAGCTGACCCCTCTTTGTAACCAGAGCATATCTTGTTCACTAAGCAGATTGTTTTAGGTGAGGGGAAAAAATAAGAAAAATTCTTTTTTGCTCTAAGCTTTCAACTTGATGAGACATCCTTCTCATCATGTTTATTGTCCTTAATCAAGGGAGTCTTGCAGATATGTCATGCCAGATTTCAATGCAACTAAAGCGTTATGTTGATCATAGTTGTCCTTGACGTAGTTTACTGCTTTTCATGTTTTAACATAAATCAAATGGATTGTAAGATTATTTGAAACTACTGAAAATGTGCATTCCCTCTCTCTGCTTCCAGGGCAATATTACAGATATTGACTCTCTCCAAGTCCTACATCAGGAAAAGTACGACGTTGCTCGATCTCATCTTGCCTTCTCATTTGCACAAAGATTCGCCCATAAGTCGGAGACAAGCAGAGAATATATTCCTAGACCACTCTTCTTGGAAGCCATGTCCTTACCTCATAAGCATTTTATATTGTTCTTGTGATCTGTTTTCTTTTCCTCTAGTAAAATAACTTCCATATTCCAAAAAACACTTCAGGGAGATCCCGTGGTTAGATATCTGAAACCAATTTCTAAGATTTTAGAAATTCCTAAGAAACTAATCAGAAGATGCATGACTGAGAAACCATTCACCAGCTTCTCCATAACTCAAAAAACAAAGTTAGTTGCAAATTTCTTTGAGCAGGTGAAAGATCTATAAAATGAAAGTTGCAAAGAAAAGCAAACATAATTTGTCCTTGGTACAAAGGAAACATAAACATCGTTCATTGTGTTTCTGAATTTAGATCAATTGACATGCATATTTCTGGTGGAGCATGAATTCATTCACAAAATCGTATTATTAAAGTATCAAAATCTCCACAACTCTTGTTCTTCACCACCAGTCCTCAGCAGGTTGGTCGCAGAACAACCAATCAATGTAGCACTCTTTTTTTATGTTTACTGAACTGCACATAATGGATGTTTGGACCTCTTCTGATGAAGACGAAACACTAACATGTAATATACAAACTCTAATGAGCCACGGGACAAATTTCTCAGCTATCCTCGTCTCAGAAAGACAAAGAGTGAACCTCTTGATCCTAATCCAAGCCTTATTTTCTCATCAATATATGTTATTTGAAGCTTGACCTCGCTTTCACCACCGTACTGGAAGCCCAGTGATCCTACCTTCAGTTGAGGGGGTTCAAATATGACTTGAATCCATTTACCATCTAATACCTTCAGCTTACCTGGAAAACCATAAGGACTCCATATTATCTAGTGAATAGCACAAATTCTTCACAATATCCAATTTGCATATATTTATCATAAAAATGTAATCTTGGTTGTATTCCAGCAAAGTAGAGAGAAGTTTGAATCATCACAATAAGCAAGGTGAAAACAGAACAAAGTGGAAGACGGAGATATCAGTGCACAATTACCTTTCAAGGACACTTCTCCATCGAGGAAACCAAAAGCAGAGAAGGATACTTTATTCCTCACGATATCAGGGGCTTCCACGACCTGCACCATTTCATTTGTCTTGAAGACAAGTCGTCCAATTGCGCTCCTGTAACCTCCTCCAGGTGATGTCGGCACCGAGCAATAGACCACATCCCAATCTGAGTTATATGACAAGACATGAGCTTGCTAAACCAATGACCGCAAAGTTCAGGCGAGAACATGATGATTTCATCACTGCCAATTTTTTCTAACTGATGGTGTGTAAAGGAAAGCTGCCACAAATCTTACACGACAAACTGGAGTTTCTAATAGCTTACAGGCAAGTCTCAGCATCTGAAATCCACGAAGGAGAACGATGTTTCAAGAGTCAATTAAGAGTCCTTATCTTGGATTTGATGCATGATGGTTTGCTGAGAACTTTAGATATGTAACAGCTGGCTTAATTGGATCTTGGTCTTTACCTCCAAATATGAGAGGGCACTTAACAGGCTCATCGACGCAGTATCCTGCAAGCTGACTTGCCACACTGGCCACCTCTTTGTGCTCGTCCTTCGTAAGCGAAACTCCCCGATCAGTTCCCTTCACCTACAGCAAGATGTGATTTTTTTTTTGCTACACACAACGATTGATCTGGAAATCGTACCTTAAAATGCAGATAATAATCATCAAACCTAACAGGGGAAATTTCAATCCAACTCCAAGCTCCCAACCAAAATGTTGTGGAGCTGATGCATATTCGATACTCTTCTTTCCTCCTAGATCTTCATTTCTTGCGCAAAAGGAAAAATATCTGAGATCGAGAAAGAGGACCGAACCTTGGAGAGGATGGAAGCGACGAGATCGTCCGGGGCCGCCACGAAGGGCTGCGCCGAGACAGAGGCGCGGACGATTGGGATCTTGCAGCGGTGCGTTTGCGGAAAGACGACGCGCTGATTGGAGAGCGCAGGACGGGAGACGAGGGTCGCGGGGGGGAAGAGAGCGACCGACGAAGCCATTGTCGTGCCCGCGTTAGCTCCTCGTCCGCCTTTGTGTCTCCTTATATATCTATTTTTTCTTCGTTTTGTGATTGGCTATATTTAGATTTTGGATAGGGGGCGTGGGGCCAGGAGCTGGGAACATGAGCCATGTGGCGAGATCTGTGGCCCCGATTGGACCATGTAATATTTGATTAGTGGCCATTGGATTGTAGGATGGACTGGCCTTGAACGTACCACGGCGTCGCTTAAGATTCGACTTAGGTTGCGACCTTGTATCTTGGATTTACAAGGCAGGAGCCGGAGGAGGGCGAGGCGAAGGGTGCGGCAGACGGAAGGAACGGACGGGTAGCCGGCGATGGGACGCAGCGGGCGGTCGAAGGCGTGGCACGCGCCGCAGTTGACGAGGCGGGCCACGAGGAAGTTGGCGCCGTGGAAGGCGACGTCGAAGGCCTTGCAGAGGAACGCGTCGTCAGGCTCGCACTAGAGGGAGGCGGCGGCGGCGACGGAGGGTGGGTTATCTTCGATTCGGAGGGGTCACACGAGAAGACATCGGGTCACGTACACACGTCGTTATTGGTTATAAATTTTTAAAACATGTTAAAGCAGAATAATTTTTTTTTCGTATTAAAATGGTTCATCATCAAAATACCAATTTGATATCAAAATACTAATATCAACCAGAACAATATAAATAGTAGAGTAATAAATCAATCACACGATGAGACCAAATCTTTTAACGTGAAAAACCCAATGTGAAAAAAATTATGGGACCGTAGTCCACCTCAAACTTCCACTATGATAACAGGTTTACAGTAAATCTTCTCTAGAATAACCAAAGGATCATAATAACATCAAGAACATAGATCTTAGTTCAAGAATAACATATCATCATCACATACGATGGATCTAAGAATTCTAGATCTCACAAAGTGGGTATAACAGAAAAATACATCAGAGAGAGTAAACTGCAGATCAACACTTTTATGATTGTAGAGCTTCCTGCAAGGATTCTCTGTATAAAATTTGAGTCAAAACTGATAATGTTTGGCTACTGATCGTCAAGCAAAAAACTTAAGATCCTAATCTTTCTCTCTCCTTACGTCGTCGCTCGTTGCACACATTCACTATGCGCTCGCTGCCCTCTCTCTCTCTCTCTCTCTTTGCTACCTTATATCTCTTTTACCTTTTAATTAATGATTTGGGCTTTAAAGGCCCAATTGTCCAAGCCCACATATGGGCTAGACCCAACAATTCTCCCCCTCTAGCTCATATGGTGGGTTGTACTATGCCCGCTCTTTGCCTACATGCTTCAAACTTCTCTTTAGGCAAAGACTTTGTCAACATATCTGATCCATTCTCATTGGTATGTACTTTTTTCAACTGTAATTCTTTCAACTTAAGCACATCATGAATCCAGTGATATCTCACATCAGTATGCTTGAATCTAGAATGATATGTTGAATTCGTAGAGAAGTGAATGACTCTCTGAGTATCACAGTAAACAGTATATCCTTCTTGTTTCAAGCTCAATTCCTGTAGAAACTTTTTCATCCATAAAGCTTTCTTGCAGGCTTCAGTAAATGTAATGTATTCTGCTTCTGTGGTTGATAGAGCAACATAATTCTGTAACTTAGACTGTCAAGAGACTGCTCCCCCTACAAATGTCATTAGGAACCTCGAAGTGGACTTCCTGGAATCAGTATCACCTGTCATGTCTACATCTATGTAGCCTTCTAACATAGGTTCATCATTATCAAAATATAAACACAACCTAGAAGTACCTCTTAGATATCTTAATATCCATTTCACTACTTTCCAATGTTCCTTTCTAGGATTAGAGAGAAATCGACTGACAATTCCAACTGCATGAGCTATATCTGGCCTAGTACAAACCATAGCATATATCAAACTGCCTACTGTATATGAGTAAGGCACTCTAGACATTTCTTCTTTTTCTTTCTCACTTGTAGGACATTGATTCGAACTAAGCTTGAAATGACTTACAAGTGGAAAACAAACTGCTTTGACTTTATTCATGTTGAATCTTTTACAAACCTTTTCAATGTAAGTCTCTTGAGATAGTCAAATCTTTCTTTTCTTCCTATCACAAAGAATCTTCATGTCAAGTATTTGTTTCACCGATCCCAAGTCTTTCATGGCAAAAGACTTACTTGGCTCTCTTTTAAGCTTTTCAATTTTACCAGCATCATGACCAACAATTAGCATATCATCAACATATAGCAAGAGAATAATGAAATCATCATCTGAAAATTTCTTAATAAATACACAATGATCAAATGTGGTTCTATCATACCCTTGGCTCATCATAAAGGAATCAAACTTCTTGTACCACTATCTAGGTGCCTGTTTGAATCTATATAAGCTCTTCCTAAGCTTACACATCATAACTTTGAAACCTTTTGGTTGCTCCATGTAAATTTCTTCTTCTAAGTCACCATGAAGAAATATTGTTTTCACATCAAGTTGCTCAACTTCTAAATTCAAGTGGGTAGCCAAACCAAGAACAACTCGGATAGAGGACATTTTCACCATAAGAGAAAATATTTCTTTGAAGTCAATACCTTTCTTCTTATTGAATCCTTTCACAACTGGTCATGCCTTGTATCTTTGTTGTGAGCTATCATTTTCAGTCTTTAATTTGTAAACTCATTTGTTCTTGAGAGCTTTCTTCTCTTTAGACAATTTTACCAAGTCATAGGTGTGGTTCTCATACAAAGATATCATCTCTTTTTGCATGGCTTTAACCCACTCATTCTTATGCTCATGTTGAATAGCTTTTTGGTAAGTTTTTGGCTCTCCCCCGTCAGTAAGCATAACATACTCATGTTGAGGTGCTTGTTCAGTTGGTTCAACATCATCAAATGTAGGAGTATCATCTCTGGCATTCTCACCACAATCTTCTTGTTCATCTCCCCCATGATCATCATGAACTACAGATGAAGGAACTGAACCCAAACTCCAAGAAATATAAACAGAGATTTTTGGCTTCTTAACATTATCACCATCATCAAACAATTGGTATTCAAGAAATACAACATCTTTGCTTCTAATAATCTTCTTATTCACTGGATCCCATAATCTGTAACCAAACTCTTCATGACAATATCTCAAGAAGATATATGCTTTTACCTTATTATCAAGCTTGGACCTCTCATCTTTGGGAATATGAACAAATACTTTACACTCAAAGACTCTCAAGTGATTATAAGATATATATTTTCCTTTCCATATTCTCTCTAAAACATCACCTTTTAGAGGAACTAATGGAGAAAGATTTATGAGATCAACTGTAGTTCTCATAACCTCCCCCAAAATGGCTTTGGTAACTTGGCGTGAGAAAACATATACCTAATCTTTTCTTCAATAATTATATTCATCCTTTCTACCACATCATTCTGCTGAGGAGTTATAGGAACTATTTTCTCAAGGTTGATACCATGGAACCTGCAATAATTCTTAAAAGGACCCCTGTACTCACCACCATTATCTAATCGAACATACTTTAGCTTTCTACTAGTTTCTCTTTCAACACTGACATGAAACTCATTGAAAACATTGAATACATGGTCTTTAGATTTCAAAGTAAAAGCTCATACTTTTCTAGAATAGTCATCAGTAAAAGTAATAAAATAAAGAGCATCTCCAAGAGTTCTAGTTTGCATAGTACAAATATCAATATGAACTAAATCAATAACATCTGATCTTCTAGATGATGGATATATATGAAATGCAACTCTGTGTGTTTTTCCAGCTAAACAATGAGATTTAAGAGATATACCTTGCAACTTTGGTAAGAATTGCTCTCTAGCAAGAGTTTGAAGTCCCTTCTCGCTGATATGACCAAGCCTATTGTGCCAAAGATCTATACTTTCACCCTTCTGAATTACATTAATCTCTCCTTTTTGTAGCTTAGCTTCTATGACATAAAAAGAGTTAAGCTTCTTTCCTCTTTGCCATAATTAAAGAACCTTTGGTGAGTTTCCATTTGCTTTCACTAAAATAATGTGCAAAGCCCTCATCATCAAGTCTGCCTATAGATATTAAGTTAAGATGAATATCTGGAATATGCCTTATATCTTTGAGTATCAATTTGCTCCCAATACTGGCCTCCAAGCAAATATCTCCAATATCTATAATCTTAGATGTACCACTGTTTCCCGTTCTGACATTACCAAAATCACCAGCGGTGTAAGATATGAAGAAATCAACATGAGAAGTGACATGAAATGAAACATCGGAGTCAATTACCCAGTTACTGTCCTGAGCTACGAGACTGACACAATCGTCATCACAAACAATAGTGATATTACCTTCAGTAGCAACTGTATTGGTCTCTTTCTCATTTTTCTTCGTTTCATTCTGTTCTCACTTCCAAAACCTATACTCTTTCTTCATGTGACCTAGTCTGTTACAGTGGAAACATTTGATATCTCTTCTAGACTTGGATCTTTCTCTATAACCATGTAGATTTCTATTATGACTTTTTTCACGTCTTTCTTATTTTTTAGTAACAAATGCAATAGAAGAAGATTCACCATGTTCTTTCCTTCTAGCATCTTCATTTAGCAAACTGTCTTTAACCATATCTATAGTTAGAGTCCCCTCTAGCGTGGAGTTACAAATTGTCACTACAAACGTTTCCCAACTTTCTGATAAAGAGCTTAGAAGTAATAATCATTATATTTCATCATCTATATTCATTTTCATAGTAACCAGCTTATTTGTAAGACTCTAAAATAGGCTTATATGCTCAACAATATTACCACCATCTTTATACTTCAAATTTATAAGCGTAGAGAAATTTTATTTCCCATTGTCTTTTTTGCAAAGAGATTTTCTAATCTTTGCCAAACAACATCAGCTCTGGTTTCATCAGAAATATGCTCATGCAAATTTATATACATCCATCTTCTAATATAGGCAATAACTTTTCTATATTGAACTTCCCATTCTTCATCGTCCATAGTAGAAGGTTTATCTTTAATCTTGATAGGCTTATACAAATCTTTATAATAAAGTAGATCTTCCATCATATGCCTCCAAGTGGAATAGTTTGATGAGTTCAATTTAATCATACCATCTGACTGCTTCATTTCAATCACACGAGTAAAAATTAGCATCAAATAACCTATTGCTCTGATACCACTTATTAGGAAAAACTTGTTAAAGTGAAATAATTATTTTCCCTCTTTGTATATCAAAATGGGTTCCTCATCGAAATACCAACATGATATCAAAATGCTAATATCAACAAAAAAAATAGTAGAGCAATAAATCAATAACATAGTGAGACTAAATCTTTTAACGTGAAAAATCCAATGCGAGAAAAACTATGGGACCGTAGTCCACCTCAAACTTTTACTATTTATACTAATAATAACAGGTTTACAGTAAATCTTCTCTAAAATAACCAAAGATCATAATAACATCAAGAATATAGATTTTGGCTTAAGAATAGGATAAGATGGATCTGAGAATTCTAGGTCTCACAAATTAAGTATAACAGAAAAATACCTCAAAGAGTAAACTGCATATCAACACTGTTAGAATTATAGAGTTTACTATAAGGATTTTCTGTATAAAATTTAGGTTAAAACTGACAAATCACTGACCGTCAGAAAACTCAAAAAAACTGTGGCTCGCTGCTCTCTCTCTCACCCTTTGTCGAGCTATATCTCTTTTGCATTTTAATTAATGATTTGAAATATATCTATTTTTCATTTTAATTAATGATTTGCACTTAAAGGTCCAATTGTCCAAGCTGGACCCAACAAATTGAACCAAGGATGATCGAGTATATGGTTCACAACATCAATTTGTCGATCAAAGAATGAGTCATGAAAGAGAAACACAACTTTGATAAGAAAAATAAGATTTCAAGACGAAGAACGGGTACACCCTCCGTTAAATTTCAGTGGAGTATGTTGCTGCATGAAGAATTACATTAAATATGCAGCATATTCTATCTTTTCTCTCTCTACCTCAGTTCAACTGATATTTAATCTTTTTCTGTTTCGACAGACCAATCGATAATTGATTCCTCGAGCTCTTCTTTTCCTTTTTCCTGCACATTTATAATCTCTTCAAGCTCTTCTTCCTTGCATCTGTCTTCCTCTTATCCGTCTGCACTTTTGCAGCGACTATGCCTTCCTTCTTTGGAATTGCGTGCGCTCCAGCAGCTCCTTCCGCAGGAGGGGGAAGGACATTCTGATCTTGACCCTTCGGTCCTGGAATCTTGGAAGGTGGAGTTGATGGCGCGGAAAGCAGAGGCATTTTACCACCGGAAACCATGTTCGACTGATCCACATTCAGAGCCGTCGTGGATTCGGAGATGCCTGCCTGGCACTTGGGTTTAGGTTTAAGTGCATGAATTACCGTGTACAACCTGCATTGATGATCATGTAAGGAGCCCATTTTCTCTCGAGGCAAAAGGAGATCATACTCGTACATATTTGTCTACCACATTGCGGATGCAAAAGATAATTTTGAATTGCAGCCGAGGTGCCCACTCAATTAGTAGACAAAGCATAGGGGAGAGTGGGAACGAAAAAGAACTTTACCTTGCATGCCTTGCATACTCGTCATAATTTTCAAGAAGCATCTTGCCTGCCTGTTCATTCAGGGCAGACTCAGGGAATGGCTCTATCAGCAGGCACCTGATAACCTGTCATGCAAAATTAACAGGCAATGAACTTGATTAGCCCGAGAGAACTTTTTCTTTTTGTTGCCTCTTCAAGAATTCATTAAATGATCATTTCATATTAGCACAAGACCATAAGAGGTACCCCGATTAAAAAAAAAGATGTCATCGGTGACGATGATACCTAGTTGCTCATGGAAAACGAAAAACAACAACAAGGTCTTAACCCAGTAGGTTAGTGCCATGATAATGCGCTCAAGAGTGTGAAGGAAAAAAAAGACAAGAATCGTTGGTTGTCATGACCCCTAAAAGATACTGGCCTATGAGTTGGCGTTTTACGTAGGTGGAAACATTTGAACTTACAAGTAGAACATGTCTTAGTCCAAGACTCGGATTCCAATCCTTCTTCAGTGTGTTGACACAGATTTCTCCATTCGTTGCAATATTTGGATGAAATATTTTGGTCAGGAAGTAACCTGTGGAAAACAGAAGAATGTTAATACTTAGCAAGTATTCAACCCGAACCAAGTATTTTTGGAGATGGAAGAAAGAAGAAAAAGACACTGCAGCTTAGTCTTTAGTGGATTACCCTTCGGTGGCAACTGAGGAAAGTCATGAGATAATAACAGCTTCATGCGGAATACACCATTCTCATACGGTGTTCCAGCTGCAAAAAATATGTAGCATAAACTTGTCAAGAATTAGATGCATTGTTCAAGTGAAATAACACTGTATTTTCACAATCACCTACCAGGACCCTCAATATCAGCAAAAATAGTAGAAAAGTCATCATCATTTAGGACCACTTTTATTCCTTCTGGAGGTGTTTCATCTAGGTTCTTCAGTTCCTTTGCTAGTTGTTTGATAACATTTGGTGGAAGATTCTCATTTGTTGCCTGCTCACAGTAACAAACATGCAAGCAGCAGTGACTTCATCACAAGAACGTATTAACAAAAAAAATAGTCTCGAAAATTTAAAACTGAAACTGTATTTACCATTGTTGGAGAAGAAGCCTTCACAGTCAAAACTATGTAGGGATCCTTTTTTTCCTCACTTCGAAGTATACTAGCACCCAGTTTATTCTTTATCCAGGCAGTGTTTGTGACTTCAACTCAGATGCAGTTCCAGAATTATATTATGACCAAAATATTCAAATTTGCGAAAGACAAACCTGCAGAAACACTCTATAAGCATTAACTTGACTACTCTTATGAACATACAGAGATTATTCTTCTTATGATACAGCAGGCATTTAGCAGGAAATGATGTATGGTCTTGAGCTGCAGCAGTTTTTCATAACAACTTACGATCAAAATTAAATGGCAAAAAAACACTCTTCACATTGTTTCTTGCTAGACATAAATCCAACTAATTTTATAAGAGCCACAAACTGAAATTCTTCCAGAAAACATCCACAGCTTCTGATACTAGATACTATTTAGACTACCAGTACTAGCAAGATTTTTTGTACACTCATCAAATTGGGCTATGTTGCAGAACCCTTAATTTCAACAAACAAGAATGCAAGACCAATCCATTCTCTTATTTATGTGGAAGAGCTATAAAATTATAAAACTCATTCTCTATATGTCATACTGCTGCCTTGACTTCTCAATGAAACATCAGAGACACAATGTTGCAGGAAGCAACAACATTGTCTATGCAAATTTACAGTATCCAACAGTTCTTCTGGAAATTATCATTTTTAGCGGTTCTGAAAGTACCAGTATTTCTTTTCCAAAGAATGCTTTCAACTGAATCTGTGATAACCAACATCAAACTGACTACTCAATCTCGAACCACGAGATTACCAGAGCTCACCCCATATTCCAAAGTAATTAACAGCCAAATCTTTGTATAACAAAAAGGGTCAAAATGTCCTAAATTTTAAAACACAGTATGAGCCCCAATTTCCGATGAGGTCTACCAAGTGCATTTTCATGACTAGCGCGAGAAAATCATGATCCTCCGAAGCACAAGAGAAAAGAAAATATGTACCCACAAAGGAACCTTCTATTAGAAAGTTGAATGCTTATGCCTTCAAGTGCTTCAAACTTGAGAAAATATCTCAACAATTAGTTAAATGAAAGATTCAGCAATAACTAGCAAATCAAGATTTAATGCTAACTGGTCTACGTTTTACTATAGTTTCTTTAACAAGCACAAAACTTCTTTGCAATTTCCAAACAGATATAAGGGCATTTACCATTAGCCTCCTTCACAGACACTTTACTTGATCAAATAAATGATTAAGCCAGTCATCTCATCGAAAATCTTTCCCTCCCAAGAACAGCATTCCACGTTTTCCTACGGTCTTCAAACCCTTTACTGCGAAATACAACAATCCAGATACTACTTGGGAGTCTGAATAGCCTAACTAAAAAAAGCCCTAATTTGCTGTGAGATCCATCTCTCTGAACTACCCCAGTTTAAGACAAGCAATCCAAAGACAAGCGCCTAACTTGCTCGTAATACAAGAAACAAAAACCATAAATCGAGGAAGGTATCGCCCTGAATCACAAAGAACCAAAAAGAAACCCAAATCCTAACGAGCATCGCACCTTCCACGTACGCATCACAATAAGAACCGCAAGATTGTCGCTTTGGTCACTGAAAAGGGGAAAAAATCCATCAAGAAAGCTTTCTTTTTGGGGCGAACCGACAACAAGAATGCACATATCGTTCTTCAAATCGCACATGAAAGGGTAGAGACATGATGGAGAGTCAGACTCAGAATGCTTAGAGTAACAATTAGAGGAGAAGGAGACGAGATCGCTCACCCGAGGGGATCGAAGTTGGCGTTTCTTGAGACCATGAATGCTCAAGATCCCGAATCGAAAGACGTTTGGATGAGGTAATACGTGGCCCCATCGCTGGTGGCACATTTATTCGGTGTGGATGTGTCGGCGTCGGACATCGGATCTGATGTCCTCCTCTACGACAATACTACCCCTTACTCTTACCAATATACTACCCCTACTCTTACAAATATTCTTTCTATTGACTATAATACCCTTATTTTGCGATGTGATCGCACGTAGATAGCAGTGAAAGGTCGATAAATTTAAAGAATAAGGGTGGTTTGTTCGGCATAGAAATCGATTGACGAGAATAACCTTCCCGATGGACCGTTGGGGCGCGTTCTTGGCTAGCCGTTTACAATTTTCTTTTCTGGATTTGGAAATTTTTCGTGATGCTGTTTGACTTCGGACTAGTCAACGTGTAGTTTCAAACTGCCATAAATAGGAATTTGTTCAATTTTTTTTCCGACTTACTATTTTTTGTTTGTAATACTTAACCAAGTGTGAGTTGTTCATCATCTAATAATCCCTGTATTTTTTTTTTTCCTCTTCAACCAAGTGATAATAAAAAATATGACAATAGTCTCTACTAACCAAGACAATCATACATCTTATTTTTATCATTTTTTATTCAAAAAATTATTTTCTAAGGTAATTAGAGTATCTATTAAAAATTGACCATTAGAAAGGTTTCATCGGTTATGTTTTTGATACAAAATTTTATATATATATATTGATGATGAGATTCGCTAAGTAGGAGTTTTCACATCAAGATTTACACTGCAAATTTAAATTTTAAGCGAGATAATATTTAGAAAATAATTAGTTTTATAAAAAAAAATTATTTTTTTACTTTATTCTCTTTTCATTTATTTTCGTAAAGTATTTTTTATTTTTTTAAAATATAAAATTATTTTTTTATCCAATCGTTATCATCTCCACCCGTCACATTAGGGGGTCGATGTGGTCGTCTCGAGAATAAAATAAAATAAAAAGTATTTTATAAAAAATATAAAGATTTTTTTTTTAAATTTGTCTTGAAAAAAAGGATATCATATTAGATAATAAAATTAAAGTGCCACATCCCACTCACTCCCAATGTGATGGTCTCTTTATCATCGTCCTATGACCGTGACACCAACCCATTGCCCTCCCCATCTCACGCCCTTTTGGCACGGCCGTCGGCGATGGCTTACGAGGCGCCATGCAAAGCTTGCAGGCAAATCTTAAAATTTTAATTGAATCATATCGCCCATGTCAAGATCACGCAGCCATTGATGACTCACTTTGGATCCACCCTCGCTTGGTATCATTTTGATTACCGAGTACGCAACATTTTATGATGGCACCGTCATCACGTTAGCAATTAATTGATAGGACACTGTCACATATAATAATAATAATAATAATATGTTGCAAAGATGCTTCACGTCTGGAGTTGGTAATTAGCTGAAGTTGATAGGACACTGTCTTCACACAAGCAGAACTTGCAATGTCATATGCGTGTCTCGCTCATCTTTCTCTATTTTAGCTGAATGGTATGGTGTTCGGTCAACCTTCAAGGAGCAACAAGTGTGGGAAGTCTCCCAGGAAAGCAAAAGAAGACATCTTTACAACCAGCACCTCGTTGGCCTCGTGAATCCAGCTTCGTCTTCCGACGACGAAGCTTTTGGACGAGGGAGAGATGACTCGGGCCTGTGAGCACAAGTATTTTGATCAGAATATTGATGATGTTTCTTGTATGATTATACGCGCATGTACGTGTATATAGACACCCAAGGGGACAGGCGTCATCATCCCTGCGGATGTACCATGCATGCGTTGGAAGCTCGCTCCTGTAATAATGGCCGCGGTGGGGAGGAGGAGGAGGAGGAGGCAGCGTGTGATGCTCGTGTCCGAGTGTCATATTCTGAGGACGCATCACTTTGGGTCCCAACTCCGCTGGATCCTATGTCGCAAAGGTTGGACGTCGACAAGGCTCTTTCGGTAAGAAATCGACATGCTATTTCTTATCGCCTTCCGCTCCTTTTGCCTTTTTGACTTCTTTCCCTTCCTTCACGGTAAAACATTCTCCCTAGTAATGTCATGTCACTCCGGTGAAGAACGGTGCGTTTGCTTTGCACTATATAAAGTGAAGCAAACGAAGCGGACTTGCTCCGGTAAAGAACCGAGGTTTGTGAGATCTTTTCGCTTGCTGCCGCTGCCGCTGCCGCTGCCGACGAGGTACGGCCTCCATCTTTCTCCTCCCGCATGATATATATATCATCGACGCCTGCTACTCCTCTGTTGTACTGCGTATGTGGCCGATCTATATTTCCATGATTTAAAAGTAGATAAATGTTGTTATTTGGGTTCTCAAAGCGCATATTATAGTGGGATGCTGTCATGTTTATTTCCATCATTAAATGTATCATATAAAATGCATTATGCAACAGGATACAGTTTTTCTATTTTAACTTTTTTTACATATATTTCAAAAAAAAATATTTTTTAAGCTGCACTTTTAGAATTCAGAAAAATTACTTATAAGATCGTACAAAAATAAACTTCTTGGAGGCAATATTTTCTTATCCTATAATAACCCATTTGAGTCTTTTAAAATAAATTATCAAAATCAAATAATCTATGCACTTTTAGATTAATCAAAATAACATGATCCATGCATCAGACCCTCTTTCCAAAGGTTGATGTATCAAATCGTCTTTGAGAGTTTAAAACCTCAATTAATATATTTCAGTAGTAGGTATTAGTTAATTAGTAAAGGCCATAATAGTTTATCGCAAGGTCCTAGGATCAATTCTCGTCTTCGTCACTTATCATTTATTAAAAAAAATATGAGTAATTTTTTTAAAAAAATATATCTTCTTATTTAATGTCCTCATTTTTAGTTTCCTTATTTAGCTCTCATTTTTCTTTGATATCCTAAATGCCCTTTGAAATCATTTGTTGTTTCGACCTCATATAGACGTTTTTCCTTATTATAATCACTTTAGTCTCATCTCAATAAAGAGATCATTGCAGAGGAGCGATGGCATGTCGCTCTCATTGAGAATTATCTTTTTGTTGTAATTATTATCAAGGGTGAAAGAAATGAGAGCCTAAGCGGCATGAGCCCTGTGAGGGATCGAATGATAGTGGCGTAGTTTTAGACCTAATTAGCAATGATGTGGTCAATGATAGTGGTGAAGCTTTATACCTAATTAGCAACGATGTGGTCAATGATAGTGGTGAAGCTTTATACCTAATTAGCAATAATGTTGTCAATGCTAACAATCGGACGGGGCCAATTGTGATAATGCATAGGAAAAAACGATCATGGTAGTAAAACATGGGCAAGAGCACGCTTAAGGGTGTTAGTGGTTGACGCTAAAACATAATGTTAAAATCAATCATAAGAGACACGAAGACGATAAAATCTCGAAATGAAGGTGGTGAGGTGTAGATGACCGTGATAGTTAAAAAAGTAATAGAGCAAAGATAATCATGGAAGTACGAAACGAAAGAATAAAGGTAATCCATTAACGATAAGAATAGACATTTAAAATATTAGAAGTAATGAGGCTACCAAATAAGAAATTTAAAAATAGGGGCAGGAAAAAAAAAAAGATAAGTCACCTAAATAACATCAAATTTATTTTTTCAATAAATTAAATTTAGAGATTGGAATTAAATTAAACAAATGTAATGTGGCGAGTCCATCACTAACCGCTCTAACCGGTTGATCGGCATCACCTAAAGTACATAATGTGCTCCTCTGTTGGTCGGCAGGCTTGACGAAGCAGAGGTTGGGGACGCCGAAGCAGTCTCCACCTCACTCTCCTCAACTTCTCCGGCCAGTCACCGGCATCGAGGCAGTGGAAGCCAAGAAAAGATACATATCCACGTAAAATAAACAACAGAGAAAAGGAAGCGAGGAAGCGGCCGGAAATCCCCTTCGGTGCTTCTACTAGTGGCTGACGGTATCCGACATGACAAGTATAAAGACAAAGCCTCCACTTCCCTACTGCTTTTCTGCTCGCTTCTTGTTCTTGAGATCTCTCTCTCACTTGAGACCCTCGCTTCTTTGTCTGTTGACAGCCCGGCGTCATCTATCCGGCGGCAGCATGACCCCCTCGCCCACCCCGCACGTCCGGCAGCGGGACGAGGAGCGCGGCAGCGCCGATGACGGCAGCGGCTCGCCCGGCGATTGGTTCGACATCCCTCCCAAGAACGCGCCGGTGGAGCGCCTCAGGCGGTGGAGGGTACGCTTCTCTCGCCCTACAGCCCGCGTTCTCGATGGTCCTTTTAAGTCTCCGTGCTGCCGCACGGAGTTGGCACGCCATGACTAGGAGAGCTTCAAGATTGTTAGTTCGTAAATGCTATGAGAAATTATTGAAATGGGGATATCAGCAGCCAAGAAAGTACATAGAAAGAAATGGCAGATTTGTTGTGCATGAATTGAGGTGAAAAGAAATCCCTGGTTTTCCAATTTTCTATATGTCTTAACAATCTAAGAATCCAAGTGCATTATCAGGTAGGCACCTTGAAAGTTTAGAGGTTGGAAGGAGCAACCAAGGGAAATGACAGCTAAAACTTAAAGACACCCTTGAATGAAAAGGTGAAACAACCAAATGATAAATTAGACAAGATGTATAAGTATTCCTTATCTGATATTAATTCTTTAAGCAATTTGGTACCCATAATCGTTGAAACCCAAGCAATTTGGTCTTCAACCTATATAACTTATAATGTTGATGTTGTTCAGTAGTTCTAACACATAAACATGGACTTAAATAGCATACAATGACTGCTATTTACCATTCTACCCTGTACTGTTATGTGATCAACTGATCGTACCAAGTAATACAAACACTTTTGTTTCTTTTTTTGTATACTTTTCTTAGCAGCACCATGGTATGGCATAATGTATTGATCTCTGACAGTGGCCTGATACTGGACTAGTATATGATACAGAACAGTTTTTAGATTTGCACACAAGCACCCTAATTAATCTACATATTAAACTATTATGTGAAGTGAACGCTTACTGCAGTTATAGATATTGTTGAAGAAAACTTTACTGTAGATTCTTTTTTGTGTGTGCTACCATAATGCTGTGATTATGTATAACTTGTTCCTTTAACTGATTGTGGTTTTGATTTTATTTTGATTTTAACAGCAAGCAGCACTAGTGCTGAACGCTTCTCGTAGGTTTAGATATACGTTGGACTTGAAGAAGGAAGAAGAAAAGGAGCAGACGAGGAGTAGGATCCGCGCACATGCTCAAGTCATTCGGGTATAGCTTTGGCTGTATTTAGGCTTAGTTCTTGCATAAATAAGCTTTTCCCATATGCTAATTGACTTTTGACTTCTCAGGCAGCACTTCTGTTTAAAGCAGCAGTGGAGAGGGCGAAACCAGGTACTTTTGCCGCAATCCGTTTGTAACATCTTTGCTTTACAACCAGTTAAAAGATAGTATGTGGTTTACATGGATTTTCCTTGACTATAGTATTGTTCCGATTATCAATTTGTGCTTCAGAAAAAAAACACACTCTTGAATGTATGCCTTTGACTATGTTTCTTTTACCTCAAATTTATCAGGGAATCTCTTCTTTTTTGTCCATGAATTTTGCTAGTTCTGGTTGTTAGTTTTTGTATCTGATACATTGGAATTTGGATTTTCCAAGTTTCTGATCATTTTTTATATTTTAAATTTATATTTAGTTTTTTCATCTATTTTTCGAAGTGTTCTCATTTCTGCTAATCAGATATCCTTTTTTCATCTATAATACAGGTACTCCCACTATACCAGTACTTCCTTCTTGTGGTTTTGGAATTGGAGAGGAACAGCTTACTAAAATGACGAGGGATCATGATTTCTCTGCTCTACAAAATTATGGGGAGGTAGGTAAACCTTTTGAATTGTTTTTTGTTGATGTGTACCTTTTTCTTCGATAATTCATCATTTGGCTATTGCTTTAGGTCAAAGGTATCTCCAATTTGCTAAACACAGATTTAGATAGAGGAATAAGTGCAGATGATGTTGACATATTGCATAGGAGGAACTTGTTTGGGGCAAACACTTATCCTCAAAAAAAAGGAAGGAGTTTTTGGGTAAGTTGTGTTCTGATCAATCAACTGATTGCATGAGTCTTCCAAGCCTTTGTATTTATTTCTATATTTACCTTTTTCCTTTAGGTTTTCCTTTGGGAAGCTTGCCAAGACTTAACTCTTGTCATGCTTATGGTAGCAGCGGTATTATCATTGGTCCTGGGTATAAAGACAGAGGTAAGATTGACTTTGTCATATGCTGTGCTGGTAGTTTGGAGGTTTCCCCTAAGTTTTCATCCACTAATATAGTATCTGAATAAAGCCTTTTTTTGCATACTTCTTTCCTCGGTTATTTTTGTTACAATTTTTTGCTGCTATGGTATGGCACCATGAACTGTAATATAGCCTGGTCTAAATTCACTCAAGTACCAACTTCAGCAGGAAGATATAAACTCTAGATATTAGGTGTCAATCTAAAGATATATTCATTAGTTGCCCTTTCTTCTGCTTAAACCTGTTTTAGTAGGTCTTAGTATACTAATTGCACTTAAAAGAATTTCTGATGAATATACATTAATGAACATATGTGGGTTGAGTTTGTTTGTCACTCGTTTATTTATGTTCTATTTATGACACTTAATTCAGGGTATTAAAGAAGGTTGGTATGATGGTGGTAGCATTGCCTTTGCTGTTATTCTTGTTATCGTGGTAACAGGTAAATCCTTGCACTTTTAGATAATTTTTTGTCTTATTTGTTTGGTCTGGTGGTATTCATGGATTACTGTTTTCTACCATGTGTCGATTGCTTATTAACATGGCATAGTATCATGCTGTGTATTGGTCAGTATGCTGCTTCACTAGCCAGCACTTATCGAAAATTGCCTTAGCCATGGGTTGTCACTGCTGGTACGGCTAAGACAGCATGTCTTGCTACCTTTCTAGCAAGACACATGTCAATCGCCATGCCAACCGGCTTAGCGATCTTTGACGGTAAATAGCTAGCAGTAAGGCTGCCGCAAAAAATTACATGTCATAATCTTCTAAGGTTGCTGCTTGTTCATATATTTGCTTATATACAAGTTTGTAAGGCAATGATTTTCTAGATTCTATCTGTTCTTTTAAGACAAAAGTAGTTTGTTTTTTGTAACAATGGTGTTTTTTTTTTTTTTTTTGGACAACAGCATCTATTGGCATCTCTTAAGCTTTTTTTTTCTTTTGCATTCTTTCATCTTCTCTAGCTGTCAGTGACTATAGACAGTCACTACAATTCCAGAATCTCAATGAGGAGAAGCGAAACATACAATTAGAGGTTAGTTGGTTTTACTGTACAGTAAAAATGTTCAGGATTTTTTTTCCTTTTCATCTACTTTAATGTTTTACTGCATGATTTCAGGTGACTAGGAGCAGTAGAAGAATTAAAGTGTCCATTTTTGATCTTGTAGTTGGTGATGTTGTTCCTCTCAAGATTGGTGATCAGGTAGCCATGCAGCAATTACTACTCTTTTCGTCATGTTTTTCCTTCATCTTCATTGTTAAAGGGCATTATGAATGCCTATTAGGTCCCTGCTGATGGGGTTCTAATAACTGGTCATTCTCTTGCTATTGATGAGTCAAGTATGACAGGGGAAAGCAAAATTGTAAGTATCTCCGTATTGTCTTCATTGTGACGATCATTCAATTGTAGCATGCATAACCTCCTGTTCCATATATCATTTTGTTCCAAGCTTTTTGAAGTTATCCAAATTCATAGAGAAGGTATTATATTCTTTTTGTTGTCAAAAGAATGTTCCCGTAGGACTTCACAAAAGTAAAACATTATAAGCTCAATGCCCAACTCCCAAAACAGAGACAAGCAATTGATATAATATAGTAAGAAATCATTCAAAGTTAGATTTTTTGGCTTATAATTTTGATATATAAATGTATTGGCACTTTTTTGACACTTTTGGATATTTCAATATAACTTTCTTGAAAAGCTTAACATGTACAATTTTAAAAATTATTGAATGTATTTACCTTTTTATTTTGTTTGGGATGGTTCCTCGATGTTTTAGCTTGTTAGAATATTTCAATGCTCTGTTGCAGGTCCTCAAAGATAAAAAAACTCCATTTTTGATGTCTGGATGCAAGGTTGCTGATGGTTATGGTACTATGTTGGTATGTATTTTCTGTGCTGGCACCTTCCTTTTGGATTTTTCATCTCTTTTCTGATCACTATATTGCCTATGATGAGTTATTGTTGGTGCTACATGATAAAAATCACATAACTTGTACTTTCTGTGCTTTTAGAAACATAACTTGTTTCAACTAACTTCAACAACTACATACCTAAAGATAAACAGATGCATAAATTGTCAAATGGCTTCTTAAATTAACGAGTTACTGCAACACAGTTTACCTTCTGGCTTATATGAAGATGCATTTATGAAGGGACAGATAAGCCTCTTGATGAATCTCAAGTTTTTCCCTTCTTGTTCCCACTTGATAACAGGGCACCTTATTTTATTTCCTCTTCCATCGATTTATATGCCAAAATCAAATTTGGAGTCACAGAATGGGTAGCTTTTATATAGATTGAAATCCTGATTGGTGGGTCTTTCATAGACAGACACCTGAAAAAGGTTCTGATATATTCTTGAGTATCTTAGGTGGCATCAACACTAAAGGGAGATAAATGGACAAGTAGGAGAGAAAATTTTGATAAGTGAAATAGATACTTGTTGCGACTTTTGAGAACGAAGTGTATCAGAAGTTATGTTAATCTTTTTGTAACAAGCCTCATTAAGTCCTAAAGGTTCAATATCACTGTCACCATTTCAGTTCATATTTAGATCATTAACCTGAGTTATGGAGATGCCTAATGATACATGACCAGCACACAGGTAGATGAGCTTTTAATCTTTTATTGACTGGTAATAATAAACTTGTGTTGGGAAATTTTTGAACTCATAATATTTCCACTGTGGTCGATATATCTAAGTAGTCAAATTCAACATATATCAGAATTTTATAACATTAACATGGTACCCGCAGTATGATCTTATTCATATTGCATTCAGGTAACTGCAGTTGGGATAAATACTGAATGGGGTTTGTTAATGGCCAGTATTTCAGAGGATGCTGGTGAAGAAACTCCACTGCAGGTTTTCTTTCCTAAAGTATTTTATATCCTGTTTTCTTGTCATTCAAAACTGTGATTTTTTATTGTTTAATGTTGTTTATTTGTGAATAGGTACGCTTGAATGGAGTAGCTACTTTCATTGGCATGGTAGGGCTAACCATAGCTGCTGCCGTTCTTGTGGTCCTATTAGCCAGGCAAGAAGACAGTTTATTCTCTGTTTGCCTACAATATTTTCAAATTCTTATAAAGTGTGTTGGGAACTTTTCAGATACTTTACTGGACATACAAAAAACCCTGATGGATCAGTTCAATTTATAAAGGGACAAACGGATACAAAGACTGCTATAAATGGAGTCATTAAGATCTTGACGGTTGCAGTATGTTTAAATATTACCACCTTTTATTTAAACCCCTTTTGTTTTTCCTTCCTCTCCTTTTCTTCATTTCTTTGCTTTCATGTGCTATATTATCCTTTTCTATTGAACTTGAGTAGGTGATAATTGTGGTTGTTGCGGTACCCGAAGGGCTTCCTTTGGCTGTTACGTTGACGTAAATATGCATAACCTTATTTCATCTTACATAAAAAGAGCTTGTATTTTCTGCATTCTATATTTTTCTTATTTCTTTAAACATATCAGTCTGGCTTACTCAATGCGAAAGATGATGGCAGACAAGGCTTTGGTAAGTGTTTGTGTTATGTTGTATTGCAATTTTTTTATTGTTCTCTAAATAATTCTAAGGTGACAATTCACAGGTGCGTAGGCTTTCAGCATGTGAAACTATGGGTTCAGCTACAACTATTTGCAGTGACAAGACTGGAACCTTGACCTTGAATCAGGTCTGTTAATTTTATCATGGATTCAGTCTTTCCATTTGTAGCACTGGTGATTGCACATAGTGATTAAGGTAGTATGTGCTTTTCAATTCTGAAAATAATTTTAACTTCTTAGATGACTGTTGTTGAGGCATATGTTGGTGGAAGGAAGATAAATCCTCCAGATAATGCTGAATTGTTATCTTCCACCGCATCGTCTCTTCTAATTGAGGGAATTGCTCAGAATACTACCGGCAGTGTTTTTAAGGCAGAGGTAAACTTCACTGTCTTAGTATGATGAAGTGTATTGTCCTTATTTGTGTACTCAGACTTTCAAAATGGAGTTTTATATTGAGATTCATTAGTGTCAAATTATGTTTTTTTTGTTTTCCTTGTCATTATTTGATGTCATTTGACTTGTGGATATTAACTGAAAGTAGAAGGATACTACTATGAAGGTCTTGCTGAAATATTTGCTGTCATTTACGTGACTAGCTGAAGGGATAAAGAAGCAGGGCAAAATTGAGATCTCAGATCTTATTATGAATACTGGAACCTAAGTAAATTTGTAGATTTGAGGTGGCAAATAAAGGAACAAGCAATAAATTTTCAAGGTGACTAGCGAATTTTAATGTATTAGGTTCCTGGTGTGGGAACCTTGCAGGAAAGACAAGCAGTACCAATTATATCAGTATTGGAAATTGATGGCGGGTCTTTAGCTGCATGATTTCTCTCTCGATGAATTTTGTTGGTACATAAATAGATTAAGGATAGTCTTTGGTAAGGATTGCTTGTTGTTTAAAATCAACTTAGCAAGTGGAACCCTACTATCTAATGGCTTAGAACAAGTACAGGAGGCTAAAGTAAACATAATGGATTCTGATGGTGAAGAGGGTACAGGAGCAAATTCTTCTGTCAAATCTGATGAATAATGGAAACTAATTGGTTCAGGTGTTCTTGTATTGTCGGCATTCCTTTTGCAGACATGGGAGTGCTAGGGAGTCCCCCTATTATTTGTTATGATTGTTATATATACATATATATTTAAATTCACACCGTGCAGAATTTATTCCTCAAGTTGTTGCTTTGTTGTGCCAGAAAAATATTGAACTTTTTGCCCTTAAATTTCTCTCATTTTGCAGTAATATTGCTTTCTTTATTCTGATGAATGCGAATGATCACCTGAGTTGGAAGGTATTGGCACATACTGTCAGTGTACTTTTGCACGGGAAGTTCTTGACTTCTTGTATTTATTTTTATGAAGATAAAGAGAACATTTTAGGGGAAAATTTCTAGGAAAATATACAATAGTTAATATACAGTTTCAGAGAGGTTTTTTTGTGGGTGGTAACACAAGGTGAACCAATATATTTTAGGCATCTTGATGACTGAGAGAGGAAGATTGAGTGGGATATCATTTTTAGATGAACCTCACAATTTATATTTGTTGTGAATAGCTTACTTTTTGTTGGAGGGTGGCATTCCTTTCTTAAGCTTCTTTGTCCTTAAGCTATCTTCCGCAATTCTATAACTTTATAGATACCAACTTTTTCCTAGAAAATTAGATGTTTGGTCTCTTTATGGGCTTTTTCTGACACTTCTGTTGGATATTGTAACATTTTGATGAAAAAATTGCTTTATAACATGCAAGTTTCCAATTGATAGACTGGAGCTTTTGAGGTCACTGGCTCACCCACGGAAAAGGCCATCCTATCTTGGGGTGTTAAGGTATCTTAATAAGTGTATCTGCTGTCACTTTTGGCTTTAGATTTTTTTTTATCGTTTGTTGACTTGTTGCTCATCATCGAAAGCTGGGAATGACGTTCAATGATGCAAGATCAGAATCTTCGATTATTCATGTCTTTCCTTTCAACTCTGATAAGAAACGAGGTGGTGTAGCGGTGCATCAGGTATTGATGGTTATCACCAATACAAATGTGGAATTGGTAATACACCTGTTAAATGTGATTTATGATTTCTTCTCTTTATACCAGAAAGCCTGAGACGTTTTCTCTCTCTTTTTGTATGGATTTGTCTGTTTTGTTTGGTTTGCAAATATTTTGAATAGTTTTGAGGAAAGTATTTTAAATATCAGATGGACCAAGGTTTTTTTCTTTTCACGCAATCATATATGTTAAGAGTTAGGACTTAGGAGACTAACAAATAAGTGAATAACAATTATATGCTATATGTTCACTGGCCTTCATACTCATCACAGGCAGGTGATGACATTCATGTCCACTGGAAAGGTGCTGCTGAGATTGTCCTGGCCTCATGTACCAGTTGGCTTGATGCGAATGGCTCCAAGCAACCATTGACAGCAAATAAGGTTAGACTAAAGTTCTGGCCTTTTACAAGTGAAGCAGATTCTGACTCATCCTGTCATTACAGGTTACTGGATTCAAGAAATTAATTGAAGACATGGCAGCAGCTAGCCTTCGTTGCGTTGCTTTTGCATACAGGTTTTATGATTTGGAGAGAGTCCGAAATGAGGAACAGAGAGAGAGCTGGCAGTTGCCTGAGGATGACTTGGTTCTGCTTGCCATTGTGGGGATTAAGGTGCTTGTTGTGAATTGCAAGTGACAGTAATTTAGATATCCTGGAAGATGCCACTTGCTGATGTTAGCAAATACCTGTAGATAATTTTGTCATTTATTTAGGTTATATGCTTATATAGAAGGGCGAAGTATAAATAAATACGAAAATAATTTTTAAAATGAACCAGAGACATAATAACATGGAATGTCTAACATGAGTAATGATCTTTTATGTGGTCTTGAAATTGTGTATAAATGTCATGTGATTTTCTTCTTTTTTTCTTTTTTTGTTTGTTTCTCTCTGGTATGTCTCACATTGACGACATTCTTCTGGAGCCTTTCAATGTTGGTTGTAGGCCATCCAGTAAATAATGCATCCCTTGTATCATCCTCATCCAAATTTTATTCCAAATGAAGACCTCTGCTAATTAATGAGCCTGTTATATTCATGTCCTGACTCTATAGTGAATCAATTGGTGATTGTGACAAAGCTATTAATCATTTACCCTCTCACAATCATTATATCCTGAGTATTAGCATATTGCCGCAGTAATACATCTTGGATGACAGAGAATCTGATGACATGCATTTACCTCTCATCTCATTTATTTTTATAGAAACTGATTATAACCTCCTTTGTTCTTTTAATTTGATGACTTCAGGATCCTTGTCGACCTGGTGTAAAAGAGGCTGTAGACTTGTGTACTCATGCGGGTGTCAAGGTACTTCCAATGATCCTTTTGATGGCTTAATGCAATTTAATCAAGGTTTAAGGGTGGCATGATATGCTCATGCCAGTCTGCTATTGACATGGTATACAAGGGCGTGCATCACGCTTTGTGATTTCTAATACCAGACGCAAACTTAGTGCTGGCTCTATAACTGGTGCTTCCTGCCATAAAATTTTTTGACCTTAGTGGATATCAGTCATAATATCATATTGGTTTCTTATGATAATGGGTTTTATATGTAACTGACGTTGACTGGGTAGCTCTTTGCACTGACAGCATTTGGTCTTCTTCTTAATGATCTTATCTAAATTAACTATGAAGATAGTCTTTAATCATCCAGAATGGATGTGATCGTATTAGAAAAAGCCTGGTTTTGACATCAAATTGTCATGCTTGGGTGTGGTTAACTTGAAGTTTGCTGTTCATGATGACAGGTTCGCATGGTCACCGGAGATAACCTTCAGACTGCCAAAGCCATAGCCTTAGAGTGTGCGATACTTGAGGATGCCAATGCACGAGAGCCAACTATTATCGAGGGAAAAACATTTCGCACCAAGACTGATGCAGAAAGAGATGCAATTGCCGAGAAAATAACTGTAAGTTGAAAATATCCTTTCTTTATATTCATGACAATCTGCTTTAGTTTTCTCAGAGATGATAGAAGTAACAAAATAGATAAATTGTTTTATTAGACCTTTCAAAATAGGATTCATTGTTAATAATATAAGGCATTAATTAACATTTTTATTTTTATGTCACTTGATATGTAAATGGAGTACATTGCAGATATCACAATAGTTTATTTTGCAATTCTTGATGTTTTTTCGATGTAGTTATTATATTATTTTTAAGATGCTTCCTAGATCCTAATACACGTTACTGTCCTTCTATGCCTTTCTTGTAATTTCTTGCTAGTGTGCCTTTGTTTTTCTACATTTTTTTCGTTTGATAGAAACAATATGATTCTTACCCAACTTATTCCGATGTTAAAATTATTTACTTTCTATTCTATTTTCACATTTCATGAGCCTTTTCTTTGATTGTTGTTGCCAATGGAAGTTATTTCCAAGACTATTGTTGACTTGGCAAATGTGTGATCCTAGATGTGTGCTAATACACAGGATTTGTTAAAAACTTTAAGGATTTTCTGCTTTAGTTATGTAGGATGTTTTCTGAAATTGTATATAAATATAATTTTTTATAAAAAATTCACCAGAAGCGGTTTGGTCATTAAAAACAACTATTTGTTAGTATATTCTTCTATGCTTATTTATATAAAGCACATATTTTCGTATTGTGACTGTTTTGTGCTGCCAACCATGACTTCCAAGTCCTAAGATGTTTATGCTTTATGTATTATGGTTATTATATGAAAATAACTAAGAATGTGAATTTTTTTAGCATGTATCTCACTTTTAACTTTTACTACTAAACTAGAACTGTAGAACTCATACTGTAATCTAATGATCATAAGATGTGTTAATCTTCTCAATCTTTACTAGGTTTTTTCATTAGTTATGCTACAATATCTCGGTTATTTTTTTTCCTTGAATCATTCCCTGGTCTATTTCAGTTCCCAATGGTGCTTTGAAGTTGATTTAGTGTGCCTCTCAATGCTGTTTCTTCTGGGCGTGCACCTTTACTATCATTACATGACCTGTAGAATGGATATTTATTTAAATGTCCTTGTGTAGGTGATGGGGAGGTCTTCCCCCAGTGACAAGCTGCTGCTTGTTCAAGCATTAAGGAGAAGAGGTCATGTGGTTGCTGTAACAGGTGATGGCACCAATGATGCCCCTGCATTGCATGAGGTCTGCATTTGTCTTTGAGGTGCTGAGGTTGTCTTAAATGACCACTGATTTTCTCGATAATTTTGGTGTTCAGGCAGATATTGGTCTTTCTATGGGAATTCAAGGTACAGAGGTAGCTAAAGAGAGCTCAGATATCATTATTCTTGATGACAATTTTGCATCAGTTGTAAAGGTACTTGTGGTTAATCTTGACAGCAAGGCGAAATCAAGAGAAGTTCTGGTTGAAGCTTATGTTATCCCATTTTAATCATTTTTTTTTCACCTTCTCCTTTTCTTTCACCCGTTCTAGGTTGTCCGTTGGGGCCGCTCTGTGTATGCAAATATCCAGAAATTTATCCAGTTCCAGCTCACTGTCAATGTTGCAGCAATTGTTATTAATGTCATTGCTGCTGTCTCCTCCGGCAATGTTCCCTTGAATGCTGTCCAGGTTGGCTAATTTTCGGCTTCTTGCATTTAGATTGTTTAAATAATGCAAAGTGCATGGTCAATTAAAATTAACCAAAATAATGCCAACTTGTGTAGGGCATTTAAGCTTCTAATTTGATATAAAAAAATGTTGCCATTTAGTTGCAAGTTTTACTATTGTTAAAACGAGAGACAATTCTGACTTATATTGCAATTCCTACTTTTTCACCTTTTTTCCCCTAAAAGTTTGATTGAGTCGGATTCCATCTTCCTTAGTGTTGTCATTATTACAGACAGCATAACTGCTTATTTTGCCTAAACAGCTACTGTGGGTCAACCTCATCATGGACACACTTGGAGCGCTGGCATTGGCAACAGAACAACCAACAGACCACCTAATGGATAGACCTCCAGTGGGGCGGTGGTCAGCATTATCTTTTTAATCTGCACAACACTTGGTTCTCTATATGTCTATCGTAAATAGTAATTGTTTTATTTCTCGTTTCTATCCATCTGTTCTTGAATTCATGCTTTGGTTTTTCTTAGATGGAAATTTTTTAGGATGATGCTGCTAACTTGGCGCATATCAGTTTGGTACTTTGGTTTGTAAGAAGGATGTGAATTTATATTCACATGAATGCATATAACAATTTTCTACAAGGTAGGTGACATGTAAGATGGCTGCGGCTAGCATGACGCCAATATTCAGGGTGGTTCACATCCTAAGAGCACCTTTAAAACAACGAAATTTAAAATTTGTGAAGGTAAGTAGGTAAATAGGTAAAAGCAAACAAAGCAAGGATAGAATTTCATGCTTGTTAAGGATTTACAGTAACTGTGTAAGACGTAGAGATGTGTGATCTGATTGGATGAAAGCATGATAGAGAATGAAGTTCAAATTATTTTTATCCGTTTATTCTTAATTTGTTGATTGAATCCTTTATCATATTTTCCACTGCCACTGCTACAGATTTTGTGACCGCTATTCTTCATTCAAATTTATCTTTGATTTTTTACTCCTAATTATCAGATATTGCTTATTTATTCACTTCTCCTAAAGATTATTTCTTTCTCTTCCAAGTTGTAGTTTAGCTTATTAATACTATTCAGTATTCGCACATATTTATAAATTTAATTCACTTGAAACACTCTACCATGATTTTGTGAAATTCTTCAAATTCTTGTTCTCTTCTTGATAGTCATATTTGCTGTGGCTGTCATCATGCTCAACTTACTTTGTTTATGCTATTTCATGTACCAAATATTATTTTTATTTCTGAATCTTCCACCTGTTTCTCAGGGAACCTCTTATTACAAATGTCATGTGGAGAAATCTCATATTTCAGGTGACGGATGTTCACTTATATTGATTTTTATCTAATACTTGCACATTTCTTCCAAGTGGATCCTTACATTTGTTTTTATGTGATTAATTGCAGGCTTTGTATCAAGTCACAATTCTTCTTGTGCTTAACTTTGGTGGCAGAAGTATTCTGGATTTGAAGAACGACGACCGTGCGCATGCAGACCAAGTGAAAAACACATTGATATTTAATACCTTTGTCCTATGTCAGGTAAATTAGTTCAGTTTTCTTATGCAGTCTGACGATGTATATTGTCAACCAAACATGAAATGCCAAATTCATTTCGATATATTCAAACCATGGTTGGTGTATCTCTAGTTCAAATGATTGGAATTCTCATTTCAGATATTCAATGAGTTCAATGCTCGAAAACCAGATGAATTCAATGTATTCAGCGGAGTCACTAGAAATCAATTCTTTATGGGAATAGTAGGCATAACCATTGTGCTTCAGGTAATTTGGGTATCAAAAACATTTTGGAGTCGTACATCCAGAGTGCTTCTGTATATATGTTTATATAATGTCATCTGCTGAGTAATGGGTTTTCTTTGGTAGGTTTTGATCATTGAGTTTCTTGGGAAGTTTACTTCTACTGTCAGGCTCAGTTGGAAATTGTGGCTAGTTTCAATTGCGATTGCGTTTGTAAGGTAAGTTGCGCTTATGCCGGAGACCAAGTTTAGTTCCTTTTGTTTGTAGCTCAGACGTAATTTTCTTTCACATGGAGATTGGTCCAATTCATAATGCCAAGCTCGCTATTGCTTTTCCTCTGTGCTATGTTTTCTGGTACAATCCGCAGTGTAGTAGTTTATCTATCCAGAAAGGTTTTATGGAAGACATGATATGCCTAATGATTTCTGTACTCTATCTACTTCTCAGTTGGCCTTTGGCACTCGTCGGAAAGCTTCTTCCTGTACCCACGACACCTCTGCGGGAGTATTTTGGCCGATGCTTTCGGCGTAGCAGGAAAGAAGGTAAACAAACACGTGTCTGTCAGTACCATACGTTGGCTTTCCCCACGGCTGACCCATGATCTTTGTGTTGGTCTTGCAGATGATGCGGGCTCCGGTGCTCGCCCTCCGATGAATGGTTCCTAGGTGTAACTGTGTCTTCTTCGCCATTGTCAAGATTCTCATGCTGGATCAAACCATATATATGTATGTATATACATACATATATATACATATATATACATATACATATATATATACACATATATATATATATATATATATATACACACACCATAAAGGAGGATAATGTTGATTATTGTGTAGTCTGTGCTTTGAGATGGGTGGTTATGCCATCGTTGTAGTTGGACATTATGATTGTCATCTTTGGTGTCAGGACGACTCAGTCAATCTCAAACTGTTAGATATCGGGTTGATATTTTAGAAGTCCGAGTGTTATCCTTGCTTGTATAACACATGAGAATTATTCAGTGGTTCTTTCTTCAAGTTTCAAAGATTTGGGTTTTATATATATATATATATATATATATATATATATATATATATATATATATATGAAATGTTTGTGTTTGTAAGAAGTATATGAAATTGACGTGTTTCAAAGATTTCATATATATATATATATATATATATATATGAAATTGACCCAAACGTTGCTATCCATCCACGGATGCATCAGATGGGCCTCGTACTGGTGTTTGTAAGAAGTAGGCCTCAATCGATCCAAGTCCCGACGATGCTAATGAGATCACAAACACGCTTGGTAGAAGCCGAGCATCTGAAGCTTTTTGCGCCCAAAGACGTAGTTGATTAGCCGACCCACCCCACCCCGCCTTTATTTCTACTTCGCATCAGAAGGCCAGTTTCGGTCGTTGGAGTAAAACGACGAGCGCCTCGAAGACTTGACCTGTCGAATCCAAACACTCGCCAATAATAGTGAAACCATCAAACGAAGGTAGTTGCCTTCACCGCAGAGATTTCCAACCAAATCCCAACAGCTGCAACATCACAACACGTCCCCTTTCGTTGCACCTTACGACAACCTCTTTTCTCCTCCATCTGGATAAGGCAAACAGTGACGAGGATGCGAGCAGCAGTACAGCTAGAGAGCAGGGGCAAAGCATGCCCACGTGGAAACGTAGAAGAGCAAGCCAACTTCGTCTCCTGATCGATCGAGGTTGCTGTTTTGACTAAACCAACGTGATAAGACATGCCTTCAATTTTCTCTCATGTCATCCTGTGTCTTTCAAGTTCTTCCTTCCTCCCTCCCTCCCCTTTCATACATGAACCGCTCATCCATGCGTCTTATCCTTATCTCAGACTCTTAGCGAAGCGCTGCATTGCGACTACTTTTGTCTTCTTCTTCTGATTTCTTATTCCGAACCGATATTATTATTATCAGAAACAAAAATAAATAAATAAAGGAAAGAAATGGAACATCCATCCCTCATCCTGTGATCGTCAGAGGGGTTTGATTATTCATAACCGCACACTTTCAGCATTATTGAATCCGTTTTTAAAGATCAAGTGGCGTGCGTCAGCAACGTTCGTTGACTCGCTCGATCATGATGAAAGGACGGAGAAATATAGCAGCATGAACTCCAGAAAATTCTCACCGGAAAAAGAAATGATAGTAGGAAACACCACACCCATGTGTTCTGGTTTCAGACGCTCCACTTTGTTTCCTTGTCCGGCTCGCAAGTCAACCGTCCTCCTCGGCTGTACGAAACCATCGGTACCATTTCTCCGAGCAGGTACGTACGCGGGCGATGACCCGCCGCCACCTTCGTACGTGGACTTACTGAGCACTCCTTTCGAACATGTCATGCTATCCTACGCTGCGCCACCCCTCGTTATGATTGCCCAAATAATGTAGTTAATGTCCTCGTCGCGCCACTCGAGGTTTTTCTATGCTACAGCGGCGATGGTGGGAGGACCCATCATGAGAAGCTAAAAATCTTGGAGGAGAAGAAGAAGAAGATGATGGTGATGGTGGTGGCACATGCAGGCAGTCTAATAATTCTCGATCCACCTTTTCCTTCTTTTTTTTCTTCTTCTCCGCCATGTGCTTTGCAAAGGAAGCTTCGTTATTTTTTGCTTTCCATTGGCTACCTACCGATTCATGTTAGTTTGCCGTGACTTTTGATTTCCAATCATTACGTGCGATCAACAACAACGAAAGCAAATATATTCAATTATGATTCCTATTTAAGAATTTTAATATATTCAACTTGTGTAAATCTCGATAGCTATCCATCCAAGTTGAGGTCCGAAATCCCATTCGATTATCTATTTCTCTAATGTACTCGATCTAAACTCGATAAAAATGTAGTATTCTTTTGATCCTACATTGCACTTTGCTTTCATCACATTAACATAATTGATTAGTTGCCTCGAGGACTTCCTTTGGTGTTGATCATGCCGTCCTGAAACCATCATAAATACGTAACTCATGCACATGAATTGTGTTTGGTTAATGCAAGAATATGTAGGCATCCACTGATGTCGCCATTGGTAGGCAAAGAACTCCATCACCGGATGTACAAAAGGACAGTGGCACAGTGGGCACCACCACCACCCTAGCAATCCGTACTCCTATAAAGAGAGTTGACATGAGCAGTAGTTGACTCGAGAAGCACTAGAGATAACCTTTGGTGATGGCATTGCTTTCATGGCTATTCTCCTTATCTTTTTTTTATCTTTTTTTCTTTTTCATCTTGAGCTACATGCATCACATCTGAATGGCTAAAAAGTCGCGTCAAAATGATGCTTGCTTTGCGAGTTGCTGTGCAGCAAGCAGTGTGTAAGGCAGCCCCATCTTTCGTGGGCAAGAAAGCTCAGTAGCACCACCACCCTCCCTACAAGTGTATGCATTGACCACCCTAACCTAATCCCAAAGAAGAAGAAGGAGAAGAAGATGAAGAAGTCATGCCAAGTGACAAGGATTGCCGACTCCGGACGTCCAATCCATCTTCTCCTCCTGCATAAACTATTCAAACATGTTTTGCTGCCCACAAACGTGACCTTGTAATGGTCTTCACATGAAGTCGCTGCATCGAAGGAGGCTATTGAATCTTCCCAGTTATTCCACGGTTCTAAAGAACTCTGCGTTTGCAGACGCATGCAGTAAGCTAATCAAAGTGGACTCGTTAAAGCCAAATCCTAAGAGCATAAAATGAAAGCATATATGTATCAAGACACCTTCTTTCGTTGTAAAGAAACAATTACACAAAGAAAACGAAAACCTATTGTTGGCTCTATCTCAATATCCTTTTTCTCTTTCGAGATGTCCGTGAGATCGTAATAGATGATTAATTTTAGACTTCACAGGAGCATGCATGAAGCTTATTTTCTACCTTTAGGAGGATGACTCTAAATTATCTTAATATATGCAGATTTATGAATGAAATTTTTTCTCCAAAAACGCATTTCCTGAACTAAGAAATACTTTACCTTTTAGTGTATATATATATATATATATATATATATATATATATATATATAGAGAGAGAGAGAGAGAGAGAGAGAGAGAGAGAGAGAGAGAGAGAGAGAGAATAAAAAACCAAGCGGTAGCCGTTCACTTTTCAACGAAAAAGGGACGGGGGCCGTCCCGTTGACTTTTCAACGAAGAGACGGTAGCCAGCCAGTCTGATGTCATGCACGCGTGACACGGGACACGGTACATCCGTACGTACCCGGTGGCAGAGTGGGCCCGGTCGATTTCCCTCACTGCCCTCGGCCGTTTGACCTTTCTCCCTCCCCAGCATTTATTGCGCTCCCCTCTGACGCCATTTATATCACCCTTCCTGATTTCGCTCACTGCATTCCAAGGCTCCAGTTGGATACCGGCAATCCCTCGGTAGGTTTCCAAACGCCTCTTCCTTTGGTCATCTGTTTTACGTTTGCTAGTTGTCCTAGGATCGATCGACCGATTTGATCTCTCTGTGTTGTTTTTGTTTGACTTGTTGGATGAAGGGAAGGGAAGGGAAGGGAAGAGATGAGGATGGAAGCGAAGACGAGCGAGAGAGCGGAGTCCGAGTCGGATGGTGTCAAGAAGGAACAGGAGTTGGACTTGAGTGGGATGTCGTTGGACTCGCTGCCGAATCCTTCCATCAATCTCGGCATCATCACCAAGCTTGATCTCTCAAATAATAACCTTCAGGTCAGTTCTTCATGCACGCACAGAACTGCTCTTCATCTTACTAAGTCGATCGTATTCCTTGTTTCTGAAGCGCGATACATTAGGAAGCTTTTTCTTTTTCCGATCAATTTTGTTTTGGGCTTCAGATTCGAGTGCATGCGTCAACATTTTTGGTAGTATTCCTTTTTCCCGTTTCCCGAGTTCATCAATCGGTTCGGCAGAAAGTAATTTCTAGTTAGCAGAAAAGAACAACATTGGGACATTGACGCTTGTTGGGAACAGCCAAATCTGCTTGGTTAATGCGTTATTCTTGATGGCGTGCCATTTTTGCTCTTCTCTATTCTCTTCGGTTTCTGTTGGTGGAAGGAAGGAAGGAAGGATAATTAGCTGATGGCTCTCTGTTTCCGTTTTCTGTCTTCTTTGTGCTGATGGGCTGGAGAACAGAGCATTCCGGAGTCGCTGACGGCGAGGCTGCTGAACTTGGTGGTGCTGGATGTGCACTCCAACCAGCTGAGGGCGCTGCCCAACTCCATAGGCTGCCTCTCCAAGCTGAAGGCCTTGAACGTCTCCGGCAACCTTATGGAGTCCCTTCCGAAGACCATCGAGGACTGCCGGTAAGCCTTCTACTCGCAGCATGTCACTACTCCACTCGGTGGATTCTCGAATAAGTGTGTGCAAGCGCAAAGGAGTCGTCTTTGGCCAAAAGGCAAAGACGAGAGCCTCGTGGAAGAATCCCCAGGGAATATGTTCTCTCTCCTTGAGCGAAGGAAACATTAACATCCGATGCATGTTCGATATGGTAGAGAAGAGAAGTGCGATACCGAGTAGTAGAGCTTCGATTCTTCTCATGTCTCTGAACAGGGCTTTGCAGGAGCTGATTGCCAACTTCAACCAGCTCACCAAGCTCCCAGACACCATGGGTTTCGAGCTCACCAACCTCCAAATGCTGGCCGTCAACACCAACAAGCTCGCCTTCCTCCCCTACTCCACCTCGCACATGACTTCCCTCCGAGTCCTGGACGCCCGCCTCAACTGCCT